GTCGAATGTGGTTTTCTGCCTTTATTTGGTAGAATGAAATTTTGGAAATTGGCAAATGATATACAAGGGGCATAATATCAAGGTTTTACTATACACCAATTATCTGGCATCAAATATATTTATTGACCGAGACCTATTAAGTGTAAAGCTATATCATTACATGCTGGGTATGTCCCATGTTTATGATTACTTGCCCACAAAGACAGGGGTTTGAGGCCTACACGGGCCAGTCACCAGGTACTGGCCGCAGGTCTGTGGTTTTTCAGGTACTCTTCACCAACAAAACATAGCATGTCCTCAAACGATCATATTAACAAGACGTAAAACTCGCACACATTAAAAAGCTGCGCATATGATTCACAAGTATGTTGTCCGTGTGTTGGTAAATACACCCTGTATCCATTAAATGAACTAACGCAACTAGCATAGCTTCTTAAACTCGGTGCAGATCTATGTAAACTCATTGCAGATGAAACATATTTTCAGAAATAACATTGATAAGTACTGGTATTGTAAATCTGTAGCTTTGATGGAAGACTTATTTTTGTGCTTAAACAGACTATACTCCTGCAAGGAACATACAGTAAAACCTTGTTATAATGCCATTACTTATCTAGTAGGCTGTAAGCAGTATACAGGGGTTTGGCATTATATCTAGGGAAGTGAACATGTCACGTGTAGAATTGAAGCAGGCGTAAAACAACTCAAACCAGATGTAAATAAATGTAGTTGGATCTTTCCAATTTTAAGATCATTTCTAAATTTTATGCCACTAGATATACTATTCTTGTGTAAATCTTTGGGGATTTAGTCCTTAGAAAGGGGAACAGGCCTGTAAGTCTTTGAGGGTTTATTCCTTAGAAAGGGGAACAGACATGTGAGTCTTTGAGGGTTTATCCCTTAGAAAGGGGAACAGGCCTGTAAGTCTTTGAGGGTTTATACCTTAGAAAAGGGGGACATACTGTAAATGTTTCAGAGTTTAGTCCTTAGAAAGGGGGTAAATGAGCACTGCATACCAGGTTATGGCTTGTTCCAAGATTTTTGTCAGTGTATGTTACAAGACACTACTAGTCACAAAGCATTTTTAGCTCACCGGGTCCAAAGGACCAAGGTGAGCTTATGCCTTACCGTGGCGTCTGTTGTCCGTCCATCTGTATGTTAACAATTTCTTCCAATGACTTCTTCTTCTTACCCACTGATTGGAAATTAACTGAATTTGACTGGAAGCATCCTTAAGTGGTGGGGATTCAAAATTGTACAAATGGTAAGACTGACCACCCAGGGGTTGGGTGTGTGTGTGTGTGTGTGTAAAACTATGCACTGGATATCAATCATTTGGTTGGAAGCATTCATGGGAGGCGGGGATTCAAAATTGTAAAAATGGAGGGGCTGAACTCCCGGTCTAAAAGGTGTGGCCAAAATCAGTTTATCTCTTTGAAATGGTTGAGATCCCCACCCTGTAACCATATAAACAATTGAAGAGTATAAAGAGAATTATGCACATATGATTCAAGGATGGCCCTGTTGTCTGACCCTACCCTTGGAGACATAGTCCCTGGGTCATAACTTTGAAATGGTTGGGATCCCCACCCCAAAACTTTATATACAAATGCTGGGCATATTAAGAGACAAATGCAGTCATGATATTAGAATAGATTCTGGCGTCTGGCCAAACCCCTAGGGACCTAGTTTCTGAGTCACAGCTTTGAAACCGTTCAGATCCCCACCCTATAACCATATATACAATTGCTGAGTATAAAGAGAGACAAATGCACATCTGCTTCCAGGATGGCTAAGGGGTCTGCCCCACTTTTGCAGACTTAACCCCTGGGTCGTAACTTTGAAACGGTTGAGATCCCCATATGCTGGGCATAAAGAAACCTATGCAGTCATGATATAATAATTGAATCTGGGGTCTGGCCACAACCTTACGGACCTAGTTTCTGAGTCACACCTCGGAAACAATTGAGATTCCCACCCCATAACCATACATATACTTGCTGGGCATAACAGATTTAATACAGATATGCTACACAGATTGGCCTTGGGGTCTGGCCACAACCCTAGGCTAGAGACCTAGTTTCTTAGTCACAGCTTGGAAACAGTCGAGATCCCCACCCCATAACCATACATATGCTTGCTGGGCATAACAAATTTAATACAGATATGCTACAAGGATTGGCCTTGGGGTCTGGCCACAACCCTAGGCTAGAGACCTAGTTTCTTAGTCGCAGCTTGGAAAAAGTCGAGATCCCCACCCCATAACCATACATACGCTTGCTGGGCATAACAAATCTAATACAGATATGCTACAAGGATTGGCCATGGGGTCTGGTTCATTCCCTTGGATCTTATTTGGAGATTGGTTTGCCATGATTGCTTAGATATTTAGGTGAGCGATACAGGCCATCTGGGCCTCTTATTATATAAGTAAAGTAACTTTCCAAACATTTTCTCTCACCATTCAATTAAGCTTAATTACTCCACATTAGTATAATTGTCTTCAGTAAAAAGTAATCATGGGTAATGTGTTGCTCCTGCAATTGTTTATAAAACCAAAATGTCCCGACAAATGAAACCCTATTCCATTATATTCTTGATTAATACTTTCACCACTGTAGACCATAATGGACTCAACCAGATCAATGCATGGTAGAGTCTACTAAAGTTACATACGGGTGAAAGGATTAATACGACGTTCACCTCAAATGTTTGTATAGTTGTTGTATAAAAATTGTTACGTCATATTGTTTTAAAAATGAAGTTGAACGATTTTTAGAGTACCAGTAAACTACAATTATTCTGTTTGATTTTAGGAACAGTAAGCTTATCAATGGTCTTACGGAGCATTGGTACATTTTGTTTTAGGGTTACTGTATACTCTCACCAAGGACACTTCTGCTTTCCGACAAATGTGCTTTGCTAGAACAGCTATACAGTCATGATCACTATGCTAGTTGCAGAGTACAGGATTTAGTTAATAGTGAATGTCACTCTAATAGCTTACCGATATATTCATGTAAAATAATGTTTTAAATGACTAAACGTGAAAACAAAATTGACACTATAGATTGAGTCCAGATTGATCGATACAAGACAGGAAGTAGACATATTTGAAGTCAAAACATTTCTTCTTGATATTTTTTTGTTAATTTAAAAAAAAAGAAAATGAAAGAGTCGAAGTGAAAAATTTGATATTACCATAGGGTGTCGTCAAATTCCATGGAATGATACTCTACAGAAAAAAATCCCTTCTCCAGTATTGCTAAGCGAAAAGTAATCAGATCTATGTCGCATCCTTTTTGAAATACATAGTTTTAGATATTGTTCCCTCTTGACAGAGAGGCGTTAGGACTGCAATTCCTAAATTTCTTTTGTTAAGAGTTTGATTGTATAGAATTTAAAATGAAACTTTTTCCAAAGTGTTTCCTTTTGCAAGATTTTGAATCTTAAGATTTGAAGGTCAAATTATAGATTTAAAAATTTAGCATATAAGCTAATGATAAGGTCAACAATAGCATCCCAAGAGTGGTTGTGAGAACTGTGCAGATATTTAATGCTATTTATCAAAATGACTGGTGTATAATTTGACCCATTTTAGCCTACAGTAAGTATTTGAAATCAAAATTATTGTCTTAAAGTTGGTAAAAAAATCTAATATTACCTTAGAACTTTTGGGCTAATATTTTAGGTTTATTTTATTCGTCAAGACTTAAAAACAATCAATTTCATACATACTGTTGTATAGAATTAACAGATGGAAGCTATATTCCAATACCAAGAGAATAGTCGATTTAAATTAAAAACATGTTGAGTAGAGATAATTGCTTAGATTATTTCTTGTAATTTTTGTAAGATGGATGAGATGTGGATTTGCTATTACTTTTATTAAAACTACGATGTTTATTGATATTTTTGTGATGCATAAAATATTCAAATAAAGGAATAAAAACATGTTCTTGTTTTATTGTGTATCAACTGGACCATTACTTATTCTGTGTTTCTTACATGATACAGGTAGTGACCTTCGTTTTAGGTAATCAATGAAATGCTCGTTTCACTGGAAAACTCGAGACAAGGGGCACAGAGGGCCTGTAAAGCTCACCGAGATATGTCAAGATGTATTGTGAATTCCTCATTTGGGATCAGCGTTCAGAAGGACAACACTACNTAACTGGACCATTACTTATTCTATGTTCTTATACGATACAGGTAGTGACCTTCGTTTTATTGTGTATCAACTGGACCATTACTTATTCTATGTTCTTAGACGATACAGGTAGTGACCTTCGTTTTAGGAAATCAATGGAATGCTCATTTCACTGGAAAACTCGAGACAAGGGGCACAGAGGGCCTGTAAAGCTCACAGAGATATGTCAAGATGTTCTTATTAACAGAAATATTGTGATTCCACATTTGTGATCAGCATTCAGAAGGACAACACTACTGTTGTGTTGAATTACATTTGATTCCAAGGTCCACTGACTTGCTTTGGGTAAATATTGCCATCTGTGGATATACTTTATACATGTACTAAATTTGGTTATTCCAGGAGAATATAGGAGATGGGGGAGGGGCTATAGGTTTAACAGTGGACGAGTCGTTAACCTTGATACCAAGTTAATAGTTACTGTGATTTTTTTGCTCGAGATTCGAGTGGATACAGTGAGAAGTGATATATCCCATCTTAATTATGCTCCATGAACCATTATTTGTGTAAGGTCAAACAGAGGGCAGTTGACAGACAAACAAAGTGAATACTATATATCACAGGCTAATTGGAAGAGGGGTATAACAAATTCTTATCTATTGATCATTTCACTTACATGATTAAAAGTAGATAAATCACATTTCATCAGTCAAGGGATCATATTTGTCAAGGTATGAGTAACCATAAGTAGGGAAGAATCAATCGACAACTGTTTTCATATCACCCTAGCTGTTGCAAATGACGTTTAACCAAAACAGAAAAAAACAGAAAAAGAAAAACACATCAAAAATAAGTTGACATTCTCTTTATTGCCTCTACTTTTGATTATAACAGTGATATAACATACTAAATACATACATACACACAGGATAAGGCATGTGGTGGTGATGACAATTCTACACCCAACACTGGGCACTTCACAGCGATTGGTCAGTCTATCAAATCTGAATGGTGGTGATTGGTCAGAGCCTTCCAACCCATCCTTGACACTGCACAATGATTGGTCAGAACCTAGCAACTCTTGTTACCTCATAATGATTGGTCAGAACCTAGCAACCCTGGGTACCTCACAACGATGGATCAGAGCCTAGCAACCTGGGGTACCTCACATTGATCATGATTGGTCAGAACCTAGCAACTCTTGGTACCTCATAATGATTGGTCAGAACCTAGCAACCCTGGGTACCTCACAACGATGGATCAGAGCCTAGCAACCTGGGGTACCTCACATTGATCATGATTGGTCAGAACCTAGCAACTCTTGGTACCTCATAATGATTGGTCAGAACCTAGCAACCCTGGGTACCTCACAACGATGGATCAGAGCCTAGCAACCTGGGGTACCTCACATTGATCATGATTGGTCAGAACCTAGAAACCCTGGGTACCTCACCATTCTAAGCGACCCAGGTCACTTTATTTAATTGGTAACAGCCTTGCAACCCTCGACATTTCAGTGATTGGTCAGTGTCTAATAAATATGGACACATCACAATGATTGATCAGACCTTAGCAAATCTGGACACTTCACAAAAATTGGTCAGTGTGTAAAAACCCTGGTCACATGAGTGGTATGTGATGCCTTGCAACCAAATTCTCGAACACCAGCAGTGATTGGTCAATTTCTTTAAAAGAAAAAAAAAAGGAAAAGAAAAGAACCCACAATATTTCAACATCGAATGTCTGTACCTATTCAAATATCAGCATAGGATTGGATATGACTGAAATAATCCTGGTGTGCTAAAATGATCACATTAAGTTCTAGGTCAAATGGTTTTCAACAGCGCTAGCCTGCAACAGGTTTTTAAACACCCTTACAGTTTGAATTTCAGATTAAAGAAAACATGACTGAACACGTTTTCAAATCTTTGAATTGTTAATCGGGTAGAAGACTGCCAGACAAACCTCTGTGAGAAGACGTCGGTTAAATGCATCCCCTGACAACACACAGTGTCTACATACCTCTATTAACACAAGCGTATACATACTTCTAGTTTACATATTCCAATATAAGACACGGATGACAACACGACTAGGTACGACTTAAGGAGAGAAGGGAACACAGTTCTATTTCATTCAACAATCAATGTTAGGGCTCTGCTCGATTTGTTGTGTGCTAGTCTAATTTGGAATGTGTCGGTCTTATTGATTTCGCACGTACCACTGATTTTTCTTTGTAAATGAGTGATTGCCCGGTCAAGCAAGATGTGTTTCCAGTCTACAAATCGAGCAGAGCCTTTTCAGGAAATGGTCGACACAAGATACCATCATTATGATAGACTGACAATGGCTTTGATCATAGTCTTATATTGTTTGTTTTCATTTGATGGAATGTTATTAAAACAATGTATGTACTAAAATGGAAATCAATTTAAAATGTGTTCATCAGTTCATTTTTTTAACCTTAAATGAAATGCATACACATTTTTTTTCTTCATTTTTTAAAACATTTACATTTTGAACTGGTTGCCAATCACTTTTTGTTCAAAACAATTTTTCTTTAAACAGAAACAGTGTACTCGGAATTTTCAATTATAATCTTAAAACCTTTGATGCTAAAAATATTTAATCAAAGAATTGTCCATGCATGCTTTCGTACACCTCTACACCAGTATACATGTACAGTATGCATGGTAAAAGGTGAAGAGATGCAAGTTTATAGAAAAGCCAGTTCATGAAAAAGGCTATGTTATACCCAAGTATCCTATTAAAAGTCAATGAAATTTCAAATGATGAGAGGTTCAAAAAGATGTTAAAATCTATAAATTCAAATTTAATGACTAAGATATCACCATATATATAAAGTACCAGTAATCAATGTATCTTACGTATTCATACACACAAAATATCATCAATACCCTTTTGTCATACAATTGTACATATACACTCGTGAAATATACGGGTCATAAGAAATGATATTTACAAGGTCTTTTCAAATTAGTCAATGTTTCGGATTTTTTTTTTCAAAATTATATATTCACCATTTAAAAAAAGTAGCCATTATATTTGTATCTTACATATGGAATAGAACTTATATTTGGCAATACATTTTGAAATTTCATCACATTATGACGAACAAGAACATCCTTGCCGTGTAATATATTCACTTTCACCAATAAAGTCCAAATTTAAATCTTCACTGATATACAGTAATCCATATTCTCCCTGTTTTTTACCCTTTACAGTGCAAATACTGGGTAGGAAGTGTGTTCTTATACGTAATGATAAACTCAACCTCGTCATACAGAGGAGGTCGAGAACAAAACTTCAAAACATTATTGGTGAATAGTTCCGTTCACTAACATTTAAAATGTTGTTTTCCCCTCTCTACTTTCAAACTATACATATTGTTTTTTAATTGTAGGTATTAAGTATCTGAAAAAAATAATTTTTTGATATCCTCCATTATAGCTGACAGGTACTGTACATACCAGTGTCAATTTTGTATGTGTGTATATGTAATGAATATCACATATCTATTAAATAGCTTAAATTTGGTCTATGTTAGGAATGTTCTTAAATCTGTCTTGATGAATACTGATTTTCCTTACTCCCAGATGAAATGCTGCATTTTTACGACGTTTTTTATGAACTCACAGGTCTGAGAAAAGAATATAACTGTAAGTATATTATAACAAACAATATTTACTTAAAGCAAATTCTAAGAAAGCAGCTAGTTTGTCTTTTGAAAATTAAAACGAAAATAATAAATAATGAAATATTTTGTAAAACCTCAAATACACTGAAAACACGCTAACTTTATTTCAAGAGGGTGTTTGTATCATATATGCATATTACATACACAATTTACAGGACAGGTTTATGTAGAAGTTTAGTAACCTAATCTTTAATGCACATATATTCTGTTTGGTGAAAAGATCCCCCTCATTGCATCAGCAGTTACCAAAGTGTACTGATTTTAATATCTTACTGTTATATATACATTGTATTAAGAAAAAACCCGCTAGATAGTTCTGAAGAAAGCTGAAATATGGTATAAAATTCTGTAATAGTTTTTTCCATATTTTAAATTTGTCTGGTAAGAAATGTTAATAGAAATACAGATTATCTAGAAATATAACTTTCCAGACACAATTATCCCAAACTAAACCACTTTTTCATGAAAATTTGCATAAATAGTCCTATGTACTTGAAACATGTACATATACATTGATGAGCATAACAGCTGATCAAGTGAAATACAAATTATATGTTATCTTTAAAATGTATTTTTTTCTTCCTGCCCATACAAGAGGCAGTTCAGGTGAGACAATGGTGCATTCAAGATGGTAAATTGTAGGATAAGTCCACCTGGTTTGTACTTTTATCTTTTTTATCTTCTTGATTTTTTGTTTGTTTAACCCTTTCACAACTATAAACCATAATGGACTCATCCAGATCAATGCATGGAAGAGTTTACTAAAGTTAATAAGGGGTGAAAGGGTTAAAGTGACAAAGCCTTTACCGAAACATATTAAGATGATATAATATGTCCATTGCAGTATTGCAGTATATATAGCATCATGTTACCAACAGTTTTACATGTCATGTTAAAATCTCGACGTATCATATCTGAAGTTTTAGTTACAGTTCTTCACACAATGTGCGGTAATTTAGATTTGTCTGGAAAACTTTTGAAGCTAGACAGCCATGCAAAACGATCAACTCCTTCCTACATAGACAGTCACCAGATAATATACCTTTGAACACAAACCCATAAACTGCACTTGAATTTTAGACAGATACAATAAAACCTCAGTATAACGTCAATTGTTTCATTTGCCACCTCTTTTACGATCACTATTTCAATGTCCCTTTTTAATTTAAAACATTTGGTACGCCTCTTTCAACATACTGCCAAACTCCTTATAATGCCCATATTTTGTTTTTTTCCTGACAACTTTTCTTTAAATTTCCTGAAACATCAGCAACCCTCTTTATTATTCCAAAAACGGTGGCAGTATAACAAGGTTTTATTGTACACAAACGTAAAATCTGCTTTAATATTTGTAATGAATGGTTAAGATTTAAATACATGTTATGGATATCGGAAAAATGCAATAATGACAATGTTATTTTCTCTAAGCAAACACATATATGTTACAAATGTATCAGATTTAAAACACAGTACCTCCCTCTATTTAAACTCCATGCTAAATACATGTTACAAAACAAATAAAACTCACTTTTCATTAAAATTGACAATCACTATAATTATCATAGTGTAGAATTGAAAACTGATGTTCCTAACTTTGCATGTACAGCAAATATTCTGGCAGCAATGCAAAATGATGACTTCTACTATACAAACCACGCACCACAGACATTTACATAATACAAGTGTCTTCCAAACATGACTTGTGGGCGGAACATGTATAGGGTGTATGTGTGTATACAAATATGTGTCAATCGTGTTTATGGGCGATATTTTGCACATGTTAACTCATTCACCCCTGAAATTTCATAATGAAATATTCCAGCCATTGAATTGGAGGAGTTCATTCGTGTCTTCAGGGGTGAATGAGTTAATAAATGTTAATCAACGTTCTGGCAAATACTTAGTACGGGGCAACATTTATACCGCTAATAACTTCTCATATTGATTATCAACTGCACACAAAATACGTCGGGCAAAGATGGGATGGAGTGTAACTCGCATAAAACCATGCATATATTTCATAATTCAAAATTGTATCATTTAAAACAACAACAACAGCAACAACAGACTGACACACAATGTACTAATAACAAGCCAAAGTTATGTGTAGTGATAGATATAAACAGTTGTCAGTGATAAGCTTAAAAAACACCACAGGTCAATAAAACGACAAATCACGTGTAATAAACCAGAAACATAAAAATGGTTGAGTAACAGTGTTCAGAATTATTACAGTCCATCTGCCGAGAGGACCACTGAACAAATAAAACTTCTTGACCAATGGTCAGTACCTAAAGAATATTTTTAAAAACCTCTATATAACTGGACAAATTTGAATGCATGACCAATGACATTACAGTATTTGAAACATTCCATATGAATGGTAGAGCCAAATGTCCAATATCAATAACATCCTAGACCATCGGTAGACCCAAAGGACCAATAGCAAGCTCTATAACATCCAAAATCATTTGTAAAACCAAATAACCAAAGTGAGAAGATTCATAAAACTCTATATCATAACGAATGCAGGTCATCCAAAGATCCAGGACATTCTTTTTAACACTGTGATCTTTAATCCAGTTAAACCAAATTTTGGCTCGACTCCATGGCTTGCAGAAATCGAATTTTTAAGAGGGAAAAAGCCGGGAGTGGACATATATATATTATCTCTTATAAATGATCTAATGTGCAAGGATTAGTACCCTTTACATGTATCTGTTGTGCTGACAATTCGAGAAATGTGCATAATGATTTCAAGAAAAAAGTTTACTTCATGATGACAATTGTCAAAGATTGACGACACAAAACTAGTCTAGACTGATTGATTCTATACCCTAGAATATTGATATTTTATGTAGATTATCAGAAAACAATTTTTTGTACAATTTTGTCAGAAATTATACACACAAAAAGGTATGAAAGTGTAAGCTACATAAAACCTATATATATTCTATAGTATTTCTAATTTTAAATGCCACAAAGATACTTTATAACTTACACACATACACAAAAGCCGGTTCTACCTCTACCTAGAACAGCCAGATAACATTGATGTTTCCCTGAGACCGTCTCCGATGTTTTATCAAATAGCAAAAAGGCTGCAAATGGCTTGAACGGGGGATGGATGAGACTAATTTGGAGTAGGATCCTCAAGTGTTATTTAAGCTTAACCCTTTCACCAATGTAGACCATAATGGACTCGTCAAGATCAAAGCATGGTTTACTTAAGTTACATCGGGGTGAAAGGGTTAGTTTCTCAATATTGGTCAGCCTCTACAACCATTCTTCTAGTGCGTGTTATACAAATAGGTACAAAATTGAGCGTAAAATCCTCCAAATGATGGTATGCATATATGTTTTTTTCTGACATTGGTAGGCCTACTGAATGTCTTTCCATATCCTGATTTCAAATAACAGTAATTAAAAAATATTGATACTTGTTAGCATAGGAAGAGGCCAGTAAGTTATAACAGTGGAATACTTCTAAACATAGCTAAATGGTTAAACAGTCTATTTACTAATATCATATGCTAGACTATAATAACATTTGCATGGTAAAAAATGGTCCAATGTGAGTTTGTGAATTAAGACCTTCAATTTCATTCACTTTTTTAATTTCAAACAATTTTATTCATTTTTTTTTATTTTGATATGTTGCGGTACGAAAAGAACAAAGAGTAATGTCCCTTTAATTGTCAAACGAACAGATGACTGTCCCTTACTTTCCAGGAAAATGTATTTACATATATCAGTGACTGTTCAGAAATACTACGTCGGAAGACGTTGATGATAGGAGATGTGAATGTTTACAGATCATAGTTCTTCCAATGATTTTGTAATAGTTATCATTATTAACTATTAAACATCTTACATAAATTCACAAAAATCATGGATATCGCACCCAAACACACGCATTGCTACATGTACATGCAACTTACATATATATGCATGCATACGCAATTGTCTTAATGTTATTGACAATGAACAAATCAAAATACAGACTTCAATTCGATTTTGTTTGTGGGAGCCAACTGGCCTCAAAGTGAAACTTTTCACAGACAAATAAATGATTGTTTCAGTACTAAAGAGGAACTAAATTAGGGAATTTTCCAGAAGCTATCTGACCCCTAACTTCTATGCACATGGATCTGTAGAAAACTTTTGGGGCAACGGCTACTAAAACAAAGCCAAAATGAGGCCATTTCCAGCAGCCATCGGACATCTTATTCATTTTTTTTAATTTTTTTTTTACATCACATGACTAATTTCTTAAAAACAAATGCATTTTATTGGGGCTATTAGTATCTCTGATGGCTCCTTTATAATCTAAACTCATAATATCAAGGGACCCTGGCTCTGGAAACATGTCATATATTGAAGCCTGTAATACAACATGTACATATTCGGCACAAGTCGCATGATTACATTTGTACGAGATTTTACAGATATTCAACATATATTCCATGGTGAATGAGTAGTTGTCCGCCTATGTTGTTGGTAGTCCTCTACTGCTGCCAGGAGACATTGCTGTACATTGCTATCATCATGCATGGCCGTTTTGTTTGGAGCCCACATAGTCCCCATAGGCTACCATTATTTTTTCACTCCTATATCGAGTCAATCGTAAATTCCTACGAACTTCGTTTGTTATAGTTCCGCGAAAGCCACCTTTGCGGAGTAGAGAGTCTATTGTTTGTTCTATGTTCCATCCTGTAAAATATAAATAACTCATTTGTTAATATCAGAGGATTTATATCTAGTTCCTGTTACATAAATTATAATCATTTCTAAGAAATGAGCTGAACAGCAAGTTTCAGAAATATTTTAATGAAATCGAGAAGAGTTAAATGAAATTTATTTATTCATAAACTCGAAACAAGCAAATCTGCACTTTGTGAAAAATCAATGGAAACAGCTTCTTTTGTCTTTGCTGTGAATTTCTGACAGTCATAATGATTCTTGTGTGGCATCAAAATAGATGACAACACTGTATCATGTCAAAATTTACTCTTTACTGTTATGACTATATGTGAAGCAGCTTAAGTATATATGCTTTACAAGCAATAACACTCAAGATATAATAGAAATGAATGAAAACAGCCCTCAGGCAGTGCACAAAGCGCTCCAGTTGATGTGTTCAAGTCCATGCACTAAATGAGTGATATCTGCAACGTCAGATAAACCTGTGTGTGGTGTCTGGCATTAGAAGCCTATCTACATGTGTTGTGTATATGTTGTGTATATGTATATACTAAACAGTGTTCATGTTTATCAATTACAACACATTAATATATTTAAGTTGCTTCTCAAAAAACGTGTACCCAACAAAAAGTAGACAAAAGAACGTCCAAGAAATCTGGTTACCATAGCATCAAATGATGATATTCTAAATATATTCTTGATTCGATTCGTCCACTAGAAAAATGTATAAACCAATAAGCTTCAACCAAAAAGGATTTGTGGCTATTAGGGTGATACATTATAATTGTTTCACAGCGTGTAATAATGAATTTTGTGCTGCACGATCTGAAATATATTAAGTCTGACAACTGGCTGTATCACTATATAGTAAGTCTGACAACTGGCTGTATCACTATATTATATTTCACCAGGATTGTAACAAATATGTACTTTTCATTTAAAGTATAGACTTAATTCAAACTCATTTGATGTAAATGATGTCTAGGAATTACAAGAATTCCATAGGAGAGGCAACTCTAATGAGAACTGAACTTATCACAAGAAAACAGTTTTTCTATTTATAGTAACGGCAACATTAACCTTTGAACTTCATACCTGAAAAAGCAATCCCAAGCAAGCACGTCTAGTAAGGAAGCACTGTATGAAGATTGAGTTCAATCAACCCTAAGGAACTCAAGTTATGGAACAGAAACAGATTTTCTATTTGTAGTAAAAGTAACCTTGACCTTCGGACCTTAAAAGCAATCTCAAGCAAGCACTATTGGTAAGAAGACACTGTATGGAGTTTGAGTTCAATCAACCCAAGGGAACTCAAGTTATCGTGCGGAAACCTGGTTAAATGACGCAACCAAAGACGATAACAAAGAAATACCTATATGTCGCCTCACGTTAACGTTGAAGGCAACACAATAAATGAGAAGTGCCTTGGGCGGTGAACAAAGGGCTATAACTCTGTATATAGCAGGGCACAAGACCAATTTCAGAAAGGGAGGCTCTGCCATTTTAGGTGGAATTTGATCGCATCTAAAATTTGGCAACTGTAGGTTACAGAGTTTATCAGCTATGTCATAGAAAATGTGAAGCACTGACTGACGGACAGAGTGCAAACCTCAAGTCTTCTGGTAGTAGTTTGAGTAACAAATCAGCACATTTTATTCAAATTTTACTTGTCCATTTAAAATCACATTTCCAACAATTTATTTACTCCATATGATTAGTTAAATAAATACAACTTCCATTGCAGGTTAATCATTTGTGAAAATTAATTAATGTTATTTAAAGTAAACAAACTAATTTGAATTAAATTCTTCACTTTGTTCCTTTAATAAAAAAAATATGATGCACTACAGCATAAGATCTGAAAACACTATATCAGGGATATCATAAGCATTTTACCTTGCTCAATAGCAACCTCTGGTAAATAGGTGGCTGTTTTTTTGTGGCCTTTCTCATTTAAAAACTCAATCCTAATGCCATGGGTCCCCACCTACAAACAAAACATGTCAAAGTTTGCATAAAAGGTAACATGTGGTCTAATTAAATTAGAAGACAAATAAGAATAAGATGTCACAGTTAATGCAATAGCAGGGTAATTCGCAGGTGACCAAGCTGGCAGTACACACAAAACTGACAAGTAATTTCTCTAAATTATTACTTAGCAGTGTAAAAAATGAGAAATTCCAAGTTGTCTATCCTGCCCAGTGATAAACAGATACTCAATGCGTACAACCAAGTCAATCATATACTTTTCTATTTTCCACAACACTTGTTGTTGGTTCTACAAGTGATTTTTAACCTTTCAGCCTGGCTCGGAAAAATAACTTTAACCAATTAATATTACACCAGTGTGCTTATTTATCATGATGAAATAGATGTACTTATCATAACACTGTTTTGTTTAAGATAAGGAAAAAGGGTTGTCATCTTGGGGAAACACAGCTAAAATTTCCAGAGGATAAAACTGAAATTTGGCCCTAATTTTACAAACAAAATCAAGGTCTTTATTTATACAAAGAAGATACCCGATGCATGGTGACTTAAATCCATTCCTTCATATGTAACTGACCTCCCAATCTTCGAAGTCTTTGGCATCCTCGAAATTGGTGAGTATGGACACAGATACATACAGTTTGCTAAACTCGTCCTTGGTTATCGGACTAAAACGGCTGTCTTTCATAGCACTGCAATACAAAGAAGAATAAAAAATCATAATATATAATAATAATCGTATATATAATTGCAGTTTATTCTCTGAAAGCAGTGTACAATACTTGCTGGTAATCCAAGTATTCCCCCAGACCATCATTGCGGCATACCCACAGCTGACTCACTCATCTAGATCTGGTGAAGAGTGAATACCGAAGCGAAATCATTCATAGCTAGGTATCCGATGATGTTGGGCAATCAATTAACTTTCAAAATTCAAGGATTATGCTTTTTGATAATATTATTATAACGTTAAATAGTATACATGTACATGATCCCTTAAGTTTGGAATACATCACCGTGAAGAATTTATGAGTTATCGGGGCTGTCAAAATAAATATAAAAACACTCAACCTGTATATTGCAATACACAAGCATATTGCATTCATGATTGTATTGGAATACAGAAATGAAATGTTACTGTATCACAATAATTTTCAAAGGCATATTTTTATGTATCCACTAGGTGTATTAATTTTGCAAATTACTTGCACATAGATAAGCCAATAACCATGCATAATCAGCCTTTCATTAGAGGTGGTAGTCAGTTGTAATTTCATAATCAATGGTTGGTTTAAAAACAATTCACAAAGGCCCATGGGCCTTAACGGTCACCTGAGTTATGTAAAAACAGATGTTACCGATGTTGCCAAATGAAAAAGAAATCATTTTAATGATTTTGTAACAAAGGTAAGTTCTTGCATTGAGCTACATGTAATGAAAAAGTAGTGTGAAAGATCTGCCAGACTGGGTAGTATATATATATATATGTACTATGTACAAATAGTGGTTCTGTCAGCCCAAACTATCATAGTATCAAACTGTCATTTCAAAGTTATAATGTCTATAAGTTTCAATGATTTCCAATTGGAAATGAACCAAATATATCCAAAAGTATCATTTTCCTATATTTCCTATAGTAAACTTGACCCCATCCCGAGAGGATAAAGTGCTTTAAGACCATTCCATCTATGTAGATTATTTGCTTCCAGCATATCTTGGTCTGGATAATTTAAGCCAATTTGACCCCTTTTAACCCGACCCCTCAGCCCTTGGGGCAGGCCCTGGCCCAAACTGTCAAACCGTTGTTTCATTGTTATAATGTCTGTCAAGTTTGAATAATTTCCAATTGAAAATGAACCAAACATACCCAGAAGTATCATTTTTCTCTATTTCCTGGGGGTCATGAAATTCACAATTTTGATAAAGCACCTCAATCAAGACCCTTCCATCTATGACGAGTATTAGTTTCCAGCCTATCTAAGTCTGGAGAAAATGACTGTTGAAATTTCTGGCTATATGACCCCATTTGGGCTCCGCCCCTCAGCCCCTGGGGATGAGATAGGGTTAACAAGAGGCCCAATGGGCCTGCATCGCTCACCTGGTATACATCTCACACTTGTAACCTTAACAGTGATTTGAAATTAAGCTACAGGCACAATATAAGTATTTATGATTAAAAGTCATTCAAAAGAACCTGTTAAAAGGTTTAAAAACATTTCACCCCTGTGAACTTGAAAGTTGAACAAGGTTATTATGTTGAACAAATTGTATAGCCCTTCATCTCAGGATGCAACTGTAAAAATATCCCACCCCTATCCTTTTTTTTATTGAAACTAGGTCATTTAAATGTTTATACATATTTTTACTAAATGTAACCTCAAGAAGTGGGTCAAGGTCATCCAATTAAAAAATCTTGATAGCCCTTCATCGAAGCATGCTACTGGCTAAATATCAACATTCTGGGTCTCATGGTTATTCAGAAGCAGTTGTTTAAAGATTTTAAACAAATTTTACCCCTGTAACCTTGAGGTCATTCACTTTAACAAATGTGGTAGCCCTTAATCCCAGCACGCTACTGACCAACTATCAACAACTGGGCCTTTTGGTTATTATGAAGAAGTTGTTATGAGCGTATTTGATCCCTGTGACCTTGAATAAATGACAAGGTCATTCATTTGAACAAACTTGGTAGCCCTTCACCACAGCATGCTTCTGGCCAAATATCATCAACCTGTGCCTTCTGGTTATTCAGAAGATGTTGTTGAAAAGATTTTAACATATTTGACCCCTGTGACCTTGAATCTGGGCAAAGGTCATTCATTTGAACAAACTTCATAGCCCTTCATCCCAGCATGCTACTAGCCAAATATCATCACCCAGCTTGGCCTCTTGGTTATTCAGAAGAAGTAAAAAAGTTGGACAGATGCCGGACGGACGACAGACGGACGGACGCCACATGCCGCACCATGACATAAGCTCACTTGGCCCTTCAGGCCAGGTGAGCTAAAAATGTTGAACTATCAAACTGTCATCTCATGGTTATAATGTAAATCAAGATTGAATGATTTCCAGTAGAAAATGAACAAAATATACCCAAAAAATTCATTTTCCTTGAGGGTCATGAAATTCACAATTTTGATAAAGTACCTCAAGACCCTTCCACCTTTGAAGAGCATTGGTTTCCAGCATATCTGGGTCAGGAGATGAAGATTTTAAAAATTTAAGCCAATTTAGCCACTTTTAGCCCTGCCCCTCATAGCCCCTTGGGGTGGGAACCATATAATTCACGATTTTGGTGCATATTTGACCAAGGAAGGTTCCTGCAAAGTTTTATTGAAATCGGATCAGCGGTTTCTGAGAAGAAGTCGAAAATGTAAATTGTTTACAGATGCACGACAGACAAAAGGCGATTAGAATAGGTCACATGAGACTTTGTCTCAGATGACCTAACAATTTTAAATCTGTATGATGCATATGATATATGATTCAGTTTATAATTCTGACAACAAAATAATTACTGTTTAAATTAAGCATCTTTTCCCTGACAATATATTGGGATATGTATTGCACTATATTGTGATACACTTATTCAGGCATATTGCGATCATGACGCTCTACCAGGACAAAATACTTCATTTCCCAAGACAAAACTGCGTACATCTTTATTCTTCCTACTTGTTTTATGATGGAGTAGTCCCAGAAACTACTGTACATAACATAACGATAATACTCACCTAGTGACAGCATATTCCCTGAGGCCACTATGAAGGTTGGTGGCAGAGAATGTCCCTATACATCCTCGCAGGCGGCGGTTACTACCTATTTTCCATGTGACAAACAATGGACTGAAAAATAATGCACAAATGTTTAACTTTTATGTAGTAGCATTCTATATCTATGACATAGTATCAATTTATTAAATCATTTTGACTTTGTTTCCACTTTAAATTTAAATACACAGTGTACCCCAGTCCAAAGTTTTACATTTATAGTATATTGTTTCCGTGCCCCTAATTTCATTTACCCCATATTTTAAGGTACACTTTCTTTCTTAATCAATCTCCGGGATCCTGGGTCAGATGGTTTTACAGCTGAATTTTTAAAATGTTTCTGGGTGAAATTAAATCCTTTTATAATAAGGTCTATCAATGCAATTACGGATTAATGAATGGAAAATTAACTATAACTCAAAGACAGGGTATAATTACATATGTCTACCCAAGGGAGACAAACCAAGGCAGTTTTTAAAGAATTGGAGGCCAAATTCATTACTAAATATAATATATAAAATAGCATCTGGTTCAATAGCAGGTAGACTATAAAAAAAAGTTTTATATAAATGAACAAGAGGCCCACAGGGCCTGTATCGCTCATTTGAATATTTAAGCAGTCATAGCAAAATATTCTAATTAAATATTATCCTGTACTACAAATATTTCACTCGCAAACTTTGCTGGCTCAATCTGTTGAAACGTCAACTACCACCCAAATATTATTATATGATTCTTTGCTTTTTGGTTCTTCTTAAAAAGATGTCTGACATATTTGACCCCTGTGACCTTATAAGGAGATCTAGGTTACACGTGTACATTATATATTCATTTTCAAACTTTGTCAGGCGCAATCCCAGGAAGCTACCAGCTAAATATTATAAAACTTTGCTCTAAGATTATTCAGAAGAAGTCGTTTAATTGTTTGATATGTTTGACCCCTATGACCTTGTAAGTAGGCCAAGGTCATTTTCTTTTTTACACTTTGTCGGGCTGGCTCTATCCCAGGAAACCACCAGCCAACTATGAAGATTCTATACATTTTAGCTCTTCAAAAGAAGTCAGTTGAAGTGTTTGACCCCTGGGACCTTGAAAGTAGGTCAAGGTCATTTTCATTCTCAAACTTTTTCTTGCTCTATCCGCAGAAGCCACCAGCCAAAAATGAAGATTATATACCTCTCAGTTCTTTAGAAGAAGTTGTTTGAAGCGCTTCACATATTTGACCGCTGTGACCTTGAAAGTCAAGATCATTTTTTTACTCTCAAACTTTGTCAGGCTCTATCCCAGGAAGCTACCAGCCAAATATGAAGATTATATACCTTTCAGTTCTTCTTCAGAAGTTGTTTGAAGTGTTTAACATATTTGACCCCTGTGACCTTGAAAGTAGGTCAAGGTAATTTTAATTCTCAAACTTTGTCAGGCTCCTACCAACAAAGATTTCAGCCAAATATCATGACTCTAGGCCTGTTCGTTTTTCAAAAGTTGATTAAAGGAAAAGTTGATGGACGACACCGGATGACGGACGCCGCACCATGACATAACATGACATAAGCTCACTTTCCCTTAGGGCAGGCGAGCTAAAAACACAAAACTATATGGCTTCAATTTAGAATCAATCAACAAATTTCAACTACTAATTCATATCTTTATAAAATAGGTCTTGTTAATAGTCCATATTGTTTTCATTGTAAAACTGACACAGAAACTATTGTCCATGCATTATGGAAATGTAAAGAAGTATAAGTGTTTTTAACAAATTTTGAATCATTGCTAGATGTGTTATTAATTCAGTTTGCTTTTAATAAAGAATCTTTTATCTTTGATTTCTATGATAGAAAAAAACAATGTTGATAATTTAGAACTTCTTATCATTAACCATATATTTATAAGGCTAGATGTCTGCAAACTGATCTATCAGTTTTAGCTTTAAAAAAACCTAATGAAAGACATTTACAATACTCATAAATTAATTGCTGTATACGTAGGTAATGGTGAAAATTATCTCGCTAATTTTAAAAGGGAATGGAAAAATGGGAAAGATTACTGCAGGCCATATAACTGAAATGTAAATTAATTATAATAATATAGTACCAATGTAATTCCTGTTAAAAGTCTATACATGTACAAAAATTGACGCAAAATTGAACAAGTCACAATAAGCCCTTGTCAAATCCTTCGACACCTCTCCAACCTTCCTTTTCTTTCTTGTCCCTCCCTCTCTTTATTACTCTTTTCTTTCCTATCTTCTTCTAAAACAGTACAATGATACATAATTAACACTTAACATCCTAGTTTCAGCATGTAAAAATAGTCAAACTTTTATTTTTTATTTTCATTTTTTTATTTTTTGTTTCTCAACTACAATATAATGCATATAATATTATATTGTTCTATGTATCCTCTTTCAAACTTATACAGAAATTAATTGTTTTTCTGAATGTATGTGAGACTGAAATATAATGTGCTATGTTTAATGTACTGTTGAAAAACTTCAAAAAATAAAAAATAAACCATAAAATCAAACCAATTCATGAAAATTTACATTTAAGAGATGACTCCCTGCTTTTCTAGTTTGAAAAGAAACCAGTATAAAAATGTAAAGTTGAAATATAAACAAATTAAATCTCCAGTACTGTGATATTGTATATTTGAAAGTATATAAACCTTATATAAATATAAATATTGGTATGAAATATTGTCTTTCTATATCATCTTATTTAGATATTAATTAATCTTAATGAAAAATAATTAGTGAGAAACTCTAGATATATCATATGTATTTGTTTATAAAGAAGAGTTTGAATTCAAATTCTTTTTATGTGCTAACAGACCTAAGGAGGCAGTACCCAAATCGGATCAGTACCCAAATCGGAAGTATTTTTGCAAAAATACTTATAAATCAATAAATGTGTCAGCAAATCAGTTGTAACAATGATGTAATCTTAGAATAGATATAGGTAGCCATGCACCATTTTTTGTGTACAGATGATTTAGTTTTTAAGTTCAAATAGCACAAGAAAACGTAATTCAAACTCAAATGTCAGTGTTTTGATTACGTTTTAAAAAATGGCATGTGCGACGACTAAGTTATGTATTCAGTTTTGGACTATAGGAATAAATGCACACTATAGAAATACTTTTTGTCGTATAAATTCTAAATGTCATCATAAAATGTTAATATGCCGGACAAAAAATATTCATCTGAAGCGTAAGATACTGCAAAATTCAAGCCTTGATCTGATTTGGGTTCTGACATTCGCAAATCGGAGACGCTGATTTGTGACTTCAGAGCGTTCTATAAATATCTCAAGTGAGTCCCGGGTGCTAATTTCGTTTGTAAGAACACCCATCAATATTTTTCCTTTGATACCACCAAATATGGAGATAATTCCTCCTCAGATTTTTCAATGATTTAATAAAATGATGGTTTGGTGATCCGATTTGGGTACTGTCACCTAAATTTACATACATTATCATAAGCATATGACTCATATAACAAAACAAAAACAACCCTATTAAAATTTATGTAAACATTCAGGATTCTCATTGAAATTAAATTAATGAAAATATTTCAATTCATTGAATTTACATACTTTAAAATTCTAACAAAGGAATCCCATAATCAACTCAATTCAGAATTTATCATTTTCTTATAAACAATATGCCATGGGAATCTGTTTCTTAAGTCTTGAATCAGCTGATATAACCAGCTGTCAGTGTCACTGCCTTCAAATCACCAATATAATCAGGAGTTTGGTTAAGTAATGTCATTTAGACAATGGGCTTTGCTTGTTATACGAATATAGACCATCTAAATAAGGTAAGAAAGAAGGGTGATCCGGACGACTGATTTAAATACCCAAAGGTTACTTCGTGGAGCAGAAGGTTTGTTTGTATACACACTGACAACTGCTCCTCCCCGCAACGCGAATGGAATCACCCAAATAATAAATATAAATTCCTTTGTTGTTCGTTAACTTTTTCAATTCATGACTGAAATATCTCACATGGCTACATTATTTTGAGTTATATCGATACATACAACTCTTTTCTACAAGAGCCAGGTACAACACGGATAAAATCCACACGGAAATATTCGTAATTAGACGGTTTTTGGATGAACCCTGTGGCTTGTTTTGGTACAACTTACTATGCATCGTTGGTGAAAGCTGGGTTTCTGGGCGGATCATAATTATGCAAATAACTGTGCAAAACGTCAAAACAGAAGTAACACATGTCGCGACAGGCTACACTGTAACCATTTTTGAAGGTATTCGGATGAACTGCGGAGCCATTACAACAAATCGATGGCATCGAATTGTTGAGCTTTTGTTTCTTCACCCCACAACAGCTAGCCGCCATGATAAATCCCTCGGCTCACAGAAATATCGCGAGATCTCAATAACTTGTTCGGGTGCTCTTGTGCCGCGGCTTTACGTTACAATGATTATGTCCGTTACTATAAAGTTCCGAACAACAACTAGCAGTAAAGGGACGAAAAGTGTGCTATCCAGGTAAAGTTTCAAGCACTAACGCCTAGTATACTGTACTTAATTGGTTTCTTCTTTATTGTCAAGATCCCCTTAGCTGATTATAACTGATAGCCATGTTGAGTATGGCAAGTGAGAAATCGTTCAAATGTCTGCCGATCTTTTAGCACGACAAAACAAACTGACAAGGACAAGACAAGATGATTGACTTGTCTTTTTGTGGTACAATGGTGAATGGCCTGTTAAATATTTTCCATACCATCCTACTGACTCGTGATACGATTGCTCAGTCATTGGGCCGGACAAAACCGGATAGCTAACTGTCCTATCACCGTTACAGTTACATATGGTAGATGTGACCCCATTTATGATACACCCTCAATAAAGAGTATCCAGTAAAAAAGGAAAAAATCATCATACCACAGGAGTCTGATGTTTAATCAAGATAAGTATAACAGTCTGTATATTTGGTTGGTTGGTTGATAGTTTATTGTCTACACTTCATTGACAAAGTTGGTAGTCCACTGTTTGGTCGATGTGAGGCTCAATGTGGTAGAGCATCCGTCTAGCTAGACTCACTGTTCAGAGGGTCCCGGGTTTGGCCGATCATTTTTCCACTCCTGTTAGAGTGTAACCTTAGCTGTGACCAACCCTTGTTTCAAGCATTTGGTGTATGCTTGGCGAGGGGATGTAATCTGAACCTGGGTTATAGTTGTGTTTTCATGGGCGAAGATTTAGAAAAAGGAGGGATGAATGTAGCACAACTCAACAGGATCGATCATCCGTGACCAGGAAGCCCAATTGGTTGAGCGTCCGTCTGGAGTTCGGAATCCCGGTTTCGAATCCCGATCTGGCTGTGCATTTTTCAGCTCCTGTTACACTTAAATTGATTAAAAGTCAGACTCCTGTGATCATACCTGTTAAATGGACAGGTGTTTACTACCTAAGTGTTTTGTCACCTATATTATATTAGATATTTCTAATGCTTTCAAAATCTGTGGTTTTGTTTTTAAATAACTGATATTTATTGAGGGGTTTAAACCAAATTTTAAACTTGCATATGTATAAGATTACAAAATAGAAGAAATGCAATCAATGAGTAAAAAATCATCAAAAAACTTCAAACAGCCGGTACATTTACCTATAGACAAAAACATTATACAGGCCTCAAGCTGCACAGTGACTGTTTTATACATATATGCCTGTATCTGTATTCACAGTGCACTTTGACTCACCTGGATGACCTTTACTCAAAAGTGAAACCAGTTCAGTACATTTATCATACAGAAACAGAAACAAAAAATAAACCTTACCTTACTGCTGATAAGCTCAGCCTCTCTTTCATAATTCCAGTAAATTTCTACCTGGTGTATAAGCTCACACCCCTTTTCAACATCGGATTATTCATTATCATCATTTAACTCAAGAGGTAAGATATTGTTAATTTTAACAGGAGATGCATTATGTTAGAGTCACAAGTTATTTAATGTTAAAAAGTATCTTATATATAATTATGGGTAGATTCAGAACTTAATCATCCTTACCTTAGTTATAAATGATATAGTCAAATTTTAGACGTGTAAAGTAAGGGGTACTGTACATGTTCAGTCCAGAAATTCTGGGATAGAGGATTTGTTACAATTTATATGAGTGTTCCTGCCCCTCTAACGACCAACTTCCTAGATCCTCTTTGTTGTTTTGTTTGTTTACCAATGTATACAAGTAAGATGCATTCATTTGACAGATCTTCCATTTTTAGCTCGCCTATTCGAAGAATAGGGGTCTAATGTTCTCACTCCGGCGTTAGCGTCGGGGAACCTTCAGAGGTTAAAGTTTTAGTGCAAGTTTTTTTCAAACAGTGTTGGATCATCACACTCAATGCACAGTTGTCTATTATGAGTTTAAGTCATTTATATCGAGTGTAAGCAATGTGCTGGACCATATTTTTTATATTTTATGGCCCAAAAACAGCTTAATTCTGTGTGCTGTGTACTAAAGGGGAATAATGTTAATATAACAGAACCTGAGTAGTTAATTGTAATATCCTCTTCCGATCTGGTGTTAAAAAACCAGGATCATCATTACTGTAAATATATTGGACTTCGGTGTCATTGCTCCACAGAATACATGTTTTGATTTGATCTGTCTTAATTAAAAAAAATCACACACATATTAACAAACATTCACTCCCGAGTTTATGTTTCGTCCTCCTAGAGTCAAAACCAGGATCAATGTACTGTACTACTTTTGGTGTCATTTTCCATTTCTTGTGCAATTGTCATGAAACGTCACATTTGTACTGTTTACGTTTTGAATTTTTGGGGTCAAAAACAAGGTCACCATGACTAAAGTTAAAACATTTCTGTTTTCACTTATGAGCTAATAGATTTCTTTTACACGTATGTATTAAATCCAACTGTTATGAAACTTATGAAGTTTAATTTTGCCACCACAGCGAGCAATATTGTAGTGTCACTTGATCAAGGTCAATGGTGAACATCACAAAGGTCAAATTCATATTATATGGTTTTTGATCAAAATTGTAAACAGCGCATAATATCATTTACAAAGTAATATTCTTAGGATTGATGCTGATCATGAGTGGTCTGTTAGTGTTGGTATGGTCAAGTGTCATCAGATCAAAGGTGAAGGTCATGTTATATCTTTCATAAGTTTTATCCAATATGTGTTCATAATCCTTAATGGCTATAACTGGTGTAACCTCATTAGGAAGCAATATAGTAGGGATTGAATCAAAGTGATCATTGATTCATGTAAAAGGTCAAAATTCTTGCAGGTCAGATTCTAAGTTTCCTTCTGGTAAAACTTAGGATTATATATAACAGGTAGGTAAATGACCAATATTTTATGGTTTATTCATGTGATCTCTGATGGGTGGCACCAAGATCCTTTAAAAGTTTTTGTGTTTTTAAAATCAAAGTTGAATATTGTAATAATTTTCTGGAAATTTAAGAACTTTTTCCTGTTCCCTATTTTTAGAATGAATGAGGTGTTGTCCGGAGGTCACACAAGCACTGTGCTGTGTGTGGATGTCAAAAAGGACGGCAGCAACATCGCTTCAGGAGGTGAGGGAGGACAAATTTGTCTCTGGTCCACAAGTGGAACTCTGATCCACAAGTATGTCAACCTAAACACCGACTGTGGATCCATCTGTTTCTCAAAGGAAAAAGAAAATATGCTATACTCATCATTTGATGACAAGATTTGTGTTTTTGATCTAAAGAACTTTTCAGAGCCTGTGGAAACATTCAATGTGAACCAGGATGAAGTTAACCAAATAGTATTGGACGAAAAAGAGAAGTTTCTTGCGGCTTGTGATGATTCAGGTGAAATAAAAATTCTTGATATTCAGGAAAAGAGACTTTATAAAACTCTCAGACATAAACACACCAATATATGTTCGTCTGTGTGTTTTCGACCGAGAAAACCATGGGAGATCATAACTGGGGGTCTAGACTCAAAGCTTATACACTGGGACTTCTCCCGGCCAAAGTGTTTGAATCAGTTCAATATGCAAGAAATGCAGAACGGAAACTCAGACGCAGAAGCTTACATGGTGAATCCCCCTTTCATCCATAATTTGGCCTCTTCAAGTGATGGACACTACCTCGCATGTGCACTAGAAAATGGACTGGTCTCTCTCTTTGATACGAGTAGGAAAAACATACGAGAGCTTTTCAGTCTACATGCTCATTCTCAAGGTACCTCTCAAGTTCATTTCGTCTCTGACTCGTGTCTGGTATCCGGGGGCAACGACTGCTGTGTTGTACTTTGGGACCTTGAGAAATCAAATGACGAGGAAGCAGCTTTAAACGTCAATGACAGCAATGGTGCCGGCCCTTTGACCAATGGTCACACCCATCCTCAGGAACAGAGGAATGAAAACGTGTCCAGTGCTTGTAAAGTTCTGGAGATTCAACATTCCAGTAAAGTTAACTGGATGAAACCTTTTGAGAAGAATGGTGTGAGAAAACTTGCTGTGGCTGATCAGACCTCAAATATCACTATTCTCTCACTGCAGTAAACAGTAGTATTATATTATGATTCATTCGCTAAAGTGAATAACAACATTTTATAGCGACTCCTACTGCAGTGAACATAAGATTTTATTGTGAATATACTCCTATAGATAGTGAAGTCAACGGTAACATTTTATAGTGAATATTTTCTTATTGCTATGAACAGTACAGGTAATATTTTATCATTATTTCCTTAAACTGTGTGAAAAAAATATTTTATTTTATTTCTCTTAATCAGTTAATGCAGTGAACAGAAATATTTTGTCATGGTATTACTGCAGCGGACAGGGACATTTTATCATGATTCTGTCACTACAGTGAACAATAAGATTTTATGGTAATTCCTTCACTGGAGTAAATAGGAATCTTGACCTAGTGCCTTTATGTGTGCTTGCAAGTTAGACTGTAACATTGATGGCACTGGCAGTGATTTGGGAAGGTTGGAATTATGGACCATCTTAGTTTAGTAACATTTTAAAAGTCATGGTAAATGACAATTGAGGTTGTTGATAAAGACAAATGATAATTAAGGTCCCTTGATATTGTACAGTGTACTTTTTTAGGAAAAGATATTGGGAAAAAGTCTTTTGTGTGACCAATGAAGTCTTTCTAATCACTGGCAGTAATATAAAAGCCTGATGTTTATGTAAGTTTAATGTATGCGGGTATATAGACATTAAAACAATATAAACGTTTTCATTTACTTTGATCGTAAAACTATTGAAAATTGCAGTTGGCTTTTGTTGTGGTGTAGTGCCTGTCATCTGTCTATTGTCAACTTCATATTTAAGGATCCCTGTACCACTGCTAAAAAGATAACCATGCATTCAAAATATACTTTTTGGCATGACTATGGTTTCGATAGATCACCTTTGAAAAGAAAAATATGCTTTGCTTTTTGAAAACATATATAAATTAACGGAGATGATGTAAACAAAATATAATCTACAAACAGGTTCAAAGTGTAAAACTTTCTGTGAAGTGAGACCTGTATTAGTACCCTGGACTTCAGATTGTTATACCATCAATCACTGAAACGGATTGAACTACCTGGTCAAAGTGAAGGGGAGGTTACTGTATATAGGAAAAATGACGGTGCAGTGGAACAAGGAATCCTTAAAACATATACTACACCAGAATGGCTGAAAAGATTTTATCGTAATTAGGTCTAGAGCTATTTTGGCAATATATTGTTATATAAATGGATGGTGACCCTGTGCTACTATCCCTATGGGCTGTGCCCAGTGTGGGAAACACTAAAGATACATGTATGTCGATAAGTCTACTTTGTCTGGGAGCAGCCTTAAACCAAGAGGACTCAAAATTGTATACTAGTCAAGAGTTGCCTCCTTTTAAGACAAAGGGGCAGGCCCAATAGGGGAAATTTAGGTAATTCTTTACAGTTATACTCCTTCATTTATTGTAAAGGGATTGTAGGCTAGCATAGAGAAAGTTTCTCTGAAGTATGCCACTCTTTTTGTCAAGGGAACTCATGTTGTACATTTTATGGAGGCACAGTAGTCTAGTGGTAGGACGCCGGGCTCGTGCCTGAAGGGTTGCATGTTCGAGTCATGGCACGCAACTGTGTTGTATCTTTGAGCAAGATACTTCACTCGTTTGTTCCAGTCTACTCAGCTGTAAATGAGTATGTGGTTGGGCAGCGCTAGAATTGTTGAATGCTAGCTGTTAGCGCTGAAATGGCAGCTCCGGCTGTATGCTCCCCAGGGAGTTGAGAAAGATAATGGCTGGTTGCAAAGGCCCTATAACCACGGATAATTTGTGAACCACTTTGAGACGACCTACGAACTGGGTTGTGATAAAGCGGTATATAAGAACCTCAAATTATTATTATTATTATTTTTATTATGTATAAGCAAAGGATGTGGCCTCAATAGGGGAAATTACTGGCAGGATGACTGTTTTATTTTCCTATACTTCTCCTTCGGTATAATATGGGTAAAGTGATTTGAGTCATATTTGTATAAATTGTTACTGGCAAATATTGTTAAGATGAAACGTGTTTATCTAAGATAGGTTTTGAACCTTACCTCGCAAATATCAAATTTTGGAATAAACTCAGGGCACTTATTCATGAAACTGTTTTTATGCTCAAGCAGAGAATATTTACTCAAACCAACTATCTTTTTACTCACTTAAATCATGCTGTAACACAGTCAGAAAATTAAGTGTTAACATGGAAAACAGTGGTCGGCTTTAAGTCTCTACAGAATTCTTTCATAATATATATATGGGGCAAAGAAGTAATTCCAACAGTGTGACTCGTATATATACATATATATATGTACGAAAATTGATTTTTAATACCTTATCACCAGAACAAGAAATTGGGCTTGAACACAGAATCTTAGTTTGAGCATGCATGTGAATGGTTTGATGAATATGGCCCAAGCACTCATATTTACCACCTAGACTCTGTAACACCTCGGCTGTGACAATGTCCCCATCCCAAATGACACAGAAAACATGATCTCCAGAAGTCAGCAGTTTTATCAATACAGTACCTGAAAGTCTAAAAACAAAAACCTTTTAAATGACTGCAAAAGTTCACCTGGCCCATTCTATAGCATGATACCTGTGTACCTGATATACTGTGATAGTTGTAATTTGTACAACTGTTAGATCTAATTAAGGATACAGGGGACAGTCTCACAGAAAGGTGGCTGTTAGCTATATAGGCTTGCTATTTGTAATTTCCATGCCTTGGCATGAGAGCTGAACTTTTGTTCAATTTTTTTTCTATTTGTTAAAATTTTACATATTTTATGTACTGATTCATGTGAGTGATAAAACAAAGAAATAAAATTTGAAAAACATATTATTTTTCTTGATCAATGTTTTACCTAGTTATGTCGGGTGCAACACCAAGGCGGTCCTGTTCAGTTCCCTGATCGGATGTGAAAGGTATGGGGGTCACCTGCCCAACCACATTGCCACATACAACTTCAATTCAATTCATTTATTAACTTTCGGCCTTATGGCCCATCAGTACAAACATATCAATACAATGCATAATATACACAATAATGTATGGTATCTGGTAGGTAGGAGGAGTTTCTGAGACAAAGAATTTGCAAGATTGAGGTCACAGTGCAGGACCCATCCAGAGGACAAAAGACCTGCAATGGATCACGTCTGATCCCATTTATCATATTAACTCTTTCACCCCTATGTAACTTTAGTTGACTCTACCATGCATTGATCTGGAGGAGTCCATTATGGTCTACAGTGGTGAAAGGGTTAAGTGTGCAGAATGTTTGGCATCCTTTATGGGGGGAAGACTACTTCGGAAACACGACATCCCCATTAAGGCTCTTAGTGGGATCTCCCCCACAAATTTGGTAAGGTAACTATCATGGTTTTGGAACAGGACCAGCAGACCTACACTTATTCCAATGAGATCTACCCTGCATGTGTATCCCTGTTGAGTGTAAGGTAAAACGTTTTAAAGCTAACCTGGCCCGAGGTGAAGGGTCAAGTGAGCTATTGCAACTGATTTCATCACCAGTTATCTGTTGTCCATAATTTTTTTTCTTTAAAATGCTTCTTCTCAATAACAACTTGACTGATTTCACCAAATCTGATACGTTAGTACAAAGAATTCTAGGTGATGGGAAATCAAATTTGCCGAGAATAAAGAGCTGCCCTTCTTTAGGGGTCAAAATGGGAGTTTATTTTTGGGCATGTATAAAACTCTTCTTCCAACAAAGCGTTAGTGGGATTTTTTTATGATATTCGCCATCTAGCATCCTCTGTTTATGTTTTACTAAGTTTACGAAGGAAACAAAATGAACATGTATTGTATGCAAGCTTCAAAGGGTCATATTTGTTACAACTTTTACTGAAGAATGAAAAGAACTTGAAGCCATGAATGATATTTGGCTAGTAACTAAGATTTGCATGGAGAAATGACATTGACCTACATTCAAGGTCATAGAGGTCTAATATGTAACAATTTCTTCTGAAGAATGAAAAACGTTAAGACAGTAATCATATTATTTTGCCAGTAACTTGCGGGTACAGATTGCTACAAACTTTGCAAAAAGAAATGACCTTGAACTATATTCAAGGTCACAGGGGTCACATTTGATCAAATAATTAAACAAATCCTTCTGAAGAATACAAACTCAAAAGACCTACAACCATGATATTTGATCAGTGGCTTGCTTGTATGGAATGCTACAAAGTTTGAATAAAGAAATGACCTTGACTTATATTTAAGGGCATAATGGTCTGATTTGTCAAAATACTCAGACTTCTGAAAAACCAAAAGGCTTAGGATAATGATAGTTTGCTTGAACCTTCTTTGCAAGGAGTGTTATAAAGTTTGAAAACAAAAGTCACATTGTTTAGGTGAGCATTGTCAGGCCCAATGGGACTCTTATTCAATGTTTTCATATGTTAATGTTTATGTCATTATAAAAGGTAAAAAATATCAACATTTTTTCTCAGTCAACTGTACTACATAAAAACCACAGTTAAAGTAAAAACACAGTTGTATCACTATATATACAAGACAATGTGTTGCATACGATTCATCTTCCCTCCACTCGTTACCAAGGTCACTAAAAGGTCAAAAGTTCAATTATCTGCTTTTCCATGTCCCAGCACTATCTATTTCAGTACATGTACTACAAAATCCTTGATGCAAGTTGTTTATATACTTGTGTATTTACCTCTAAGACTGTGTTATTTTCAGAAGCTTTATACAAGGAGGGGGCCATAGTTGACAAGTAGTTATGCATCTAACATTCTATTACCACTAGCCCTCCACCACTGGGTTGCGGGTTTGAGATCTATGTGGGGCAGTCGCCAAGTGTCAACTGGTCGTAGGTCGGTGGTTTTTCTTCCTCCACCACCAAAACCTGGGTCGTCCTTAAGCGACCATAGTTAATAGGACGTAAAACACAAACTATATACAAGGTAAGTTAAAGTCCAAGGGTCCTGTCCAATATAACATTAACATACTTCACAGGATTTGTACAGAAATTTTGCACAAATGTTCAAGCACTTTAGGAGGTAACAGGTACAAATTATGTATGAGTGGTGTCCCTTGAAATATTGTTCATTTTTTTTAACATAATTTATTGTTTTCATAAATTGCTTGTTTTTCCTATGCTAAATGCTTTTAGTGTAGGCCAGAATAAAATTTAAATTTCCCCTTCAAGTCTTCCATGAAACCATCTCATTTGATTAAAGTCCAGTATTTTCAAGTGAAGCAAAATTTGTTTAAATAAGTTCTGAAATATATTTATAAATTCAGAACTTTTCAATTTAAGCTGCCTCAAACATTCACAAACTTTTTTCGAGGTCTCAGTATCTGTACAAACGCCGTTTAGGCACACATGAACAGATGTCTATCACAACACCCAATCAAAAACAAGATTTAACAAATCATAATTTTTGTATTTTGGAATTTTATTGCTTTAAAAGTTTTACACTAAGTAAATGGGAGGCATATATAAATACTATATATGCTCAATAATACCATACAACAAACATGTTTTTGTATCAGTTCATTTCTTTTCAGATACACAGCTCTAAATGTCATTGATATATATATAAACAAAAGCACAGATTACATACTGTAGGGACTTCAGGAAGTTTGTACATATAATGTTGAGGAAAGACAATTTTTTATATCACAGAACTTATACACGGAGATTTAATACTACTGGTATAGTTAACACACAGAATACTGAAAAGTGCTTGAGCATATTATATTGATATTGTGAATACAAAATTACAAGTATATATAGTTATTCTTTCTGGAAACTTGTAGGCTCCTAGTCCAGATCGATGAAATAATGAAAATCTATTTTTTTAATTTTGTATTTTATATAAAAACCGTTGAATTGGGCCTTGGTTACTCTTAATACTAAATACATTAGTTACTGAAAGTATGATGTAAAAAATAAATTTTCAGTACTTATGAACTAGAATTGTCACTAATTTGAATTGTGAAAATTCCTTTTATACATATTTCATTAAAAACCTGGTTAAGCAAGTACATGTAATTACTGAAAAGGAGTACTGTACTTTTAATATGTGCCCCATCCTTTTAAGCACCCTATCTTTGGTCTGAATGTCCCATCTTTTCACCATAATTTACGGACTTACTTGAACTAAGTGTTCATTACGGCTATTTTATAAGAATTGCGGGAGGATCTGCAATCCTGTTAATTTCTTAATTGCCAAGAGCCTAGGGCGCTTATCAGGGCAATTACTATATTTATTATTAGCATACATTATCGGATGATTATTTATTTAACTACAGTGTCACAGGGTATATAATATAATATATACATTGTATATATATCATAACTGCTAATGTATATTTCATCAATTTATGTTTGAAGCAGATGAAAAATTGCTTCTTCACAAATTAGAAGTCTTTTTTATATAAAATACAAACAAATAACACACATCTAGCTTATACACTAAATTAGTTTTAAGTATGTTATGAAAGAAATGAGAAAGAAAATGAATGGATTTAATAATCAAGATATTGGGAAATTCTGTGACACTTAATGATATTTTGTCATGATTTCGTAATAATACTTCCAGTAAAACAGGTTTATTATGACTTACGAACAAGCTTAATATAAAATCAGGCTGTAACGAAGTCATAATTGTATCAACTGACATGGACTTATCTTGTGAGCATTAAACATAACAACTTTTGCCTACAATGAATAATTTCAAAGGCCTCTTGTATTTGTTTCTCTATAAACCTGTTTTTTTCTTAACATACCGATTGTCTGCTGGATAACCAGATAATCTGTAGTGAAGTGGCCTTAAAACCTATCAATCAATCAATCAATTAACATACCAAAGTGAACTGAATCATATATTTCTCCTGGATTTTTTTCTAATCATCACAAACGAAATCAATGTTAAGTAAAAGTGTAATAAAAAAAGAAGTAAAAACAATATATAAAAACTAGAAACCAACTACTTCACCCTCAGCGTGTAGTAACTCTGATTCTGTATTCTATAATGTCCATCATGTATTACTGACTGTAATTAATGAGTCATTAATTAAAGATAAAATCATATACAAACTGAACATCTTTTCCATATAGAAATGAAATTTGGTTGAACACAAAACCAAAGTCATTACAAACTGCTTACCGAAGTAGCACAAGACTTCTACAGAATATCACAGTGTTTAACATGTAAGTTATCTCCCTTCGATTAGTTACCTGCAGTACTAAATAATTATGCAAAGCGATACCCTTTTCCTGTGAGCAATTATATGTGTATATAGATATGAAAGAAAAAAATATTAAAGACGTAATTCAGCTTCCTTTCCAAGACTATGCAAATCATAATTCATTAGCTTTAATCTTTTCATTTTGATTTTTTTTTCCTCTGAATTCTGAACAGGATCCTTAGAAATCATCATTTGGTAAACTTGGTAGCATTATGGGATGGTATCTTCCAAAATGTTAATACAAAACAGTATTTATCATTTCATATTTAGCTGAGAAAAAACATGTATATACAAGAACATCACATTGTCTGGTAATTCACTAGAATTTGAATTTCTGACCATAGTTGTGAGGTCTAACACCAAAACGATTCACTTAGTTTCACTTGGACTTCATTTTGGAAGTTTAATTTCGGAATTATCATATACACATTCCTGTGGTCAGTCTCATGTTCATGACACTAACTCAACATTATGACACTAAATGACCAGAAACAAATCATTATTGCTTGACAAAAATTTGACCAAATCTGTAAGAGTGTACTTAAAAAATATCCTGGCACTAATAATCCAAATTGTCCATAATGTACCTGGTATGTTAAAAAAATACTCGCAACGCTGAAAGTTCATCTTAAAATTCACAATAAAAAATTAATACTTATGAAATACAATCAAACAAAAAACAAACGTCTAATTTTCTAACAATATAACAATCAAATAATTAAAAAAAAAATGACTTACTGACTTACTTGTAAAACCATCTCATTTTAATTCTGTTGCCATTCATCCTTATTCAGATATATTAAATACAGGTACCAGAAATATTTAGGCCTTATTTGAATTAATATATTGTTAAGGACCCCAATGTATCCATTTTCATCAACTTAACGACACTCCACGGTAATACTTAAATCAGTGATGTTTTCATATTTAATAATACTGAAAATCAAATATACATATAGGATTAAAATTTACTTGATTCGTTAGGTATGCACAAAAATACTGATATTTCTGGAGGTATTTTCAAAACTTGGTAGTTGAAATTTCACTGTTATCTGACCCTAACCCTAAGCTTCAGTAAAACAAGCTTTTGTTTTGTAATGAAATATAATTGTTGCTCTGTAAATATTTGTGAGATATTTTAATTTGTGATTGGCCTTTTTCATAGACGAAAGCGAAAATAAATCTCTCAAAAATTTATTGATTTACAGTAATTAAACCAGATGAACCTCGATTTAGATCTACAAATACCTTCATGTCCATGTTAGAATATCTGTGAAAATAAATGTCACAGTTTTAAGTATAGAAATTATACAATATCCATGTACAGTACATGATTATCTACCTGTACATCAAAGGAGCAAAGGTTTCTGAAAAATAGGAAGAGAAATTCACAGTAATTACTTAGACCAGGTATTAAAAATATTAAAGAAGATTAAAAGGTGTAAAAATGGTGATATGACACTAGTTATTAGGCGAGTGAAAACAAATATCAGAACATTCAAACTTTCCTATATTTGGTTCCAATATTCTCTTGACATCAGTGATAGTTTAAAACAGCAAACTCAATGTGCTTAAGTTAACGAGCATTCTGCATACATTAGCATGTATGGCCGCAAACATTCCGAACAAATCTCGCACACACATGGGAAAGTCGCTGTACCTAACACAGCTGTCCTGACCATGTCGCTTCATCGAGAGTTGATGAAGATCAGGAATACCACTGTTGTATCATTGAGGACTACAAGTGTAATTGGTGGCAGTTAAATGGATTGACAACTGCAAAACAGGGCATGTCTGTCCTATAAATATCCAGATATGTGTTTTCTGGATAACCTTTCTTTCAATCTACATAGACCCATCAGTTAAGCCAATCAAAGAGTCTGTTTAACTGATAAATAATGCTTTTCTACTGAGTACGCATATATTTTGCTTTGTAAGTATGTTCTTGGTCCGTTATCAGAGTCTTAATTCGTCCCTGCTGGGTCCGAAAGTAAAATGATAATCAGGATTATGGAGTGATTTGATTGGTCTATTCTTCCTCCTGCTCCACCTCTTTCTTTGTTTCTTGTTGCTCTTCCTTAACTTCCTCCTTCTTTTGAACTTTGGGTTCCGGAGACTTTGTCTTCCCCTCCTCCGACTTGGATTGTGATTGAGATGAGGCTGCCCTCTTTGATACCGTTGATTTTTCACGTGATTTTCCTGTTTCTGCTCTGTCCTACAAGTAAAAAGGCAACAACATATCAAATCTGCATGTAAAATTTTGTAAAGGTAAAATTGTATGCAAATCTTTATTATTTCTAAGAGGGTTCATGCTGCCTTATAAAAAAACTAGAAAATGTCTATAAGACATGAATGCCCCCGTCCCACTTTGATCACGGGATGAGATGGGACGGGGCGGTATGGGACGGGGTCGGGACAGGATGGGACAGACATTGGCAACAATATATATGCCCCCATTTTATGGGGGGGGGCTTCATAAAAACAAATATATATATAAACTGATAAGCAGAGAAGTATTAGCAATGGGCAAACAACATGTGGCAAGTTTGACTGAAAAAGAAGGACCACAGAAAGACAGGCAGGTACGTATGCTGGAGGCAGGTTATGTTGGTGTTTTTGCCTTCTTGTGANAACTGATAAGCAGAGAAGTATTAGCAATGGGGCAAACAACATGTGGCAAGTTTGACTGAAAAAGAAGGGCCACAGAAAGACAGGTTGGGGGGGGGGGACGTATGCTGGAGGCAGGTTATGTTGGTGTTTTTGCCTTCTTGTGAAAGCCCAGATCTGATGCTGACTTTAGAGTGCTACCTTACTGAAATACTATGTAGAAGGCACCAAGCACAATGTATCACCTGGAGTGGTACAAATTAACATATGTGTGCCAAGAATAAAGATCAATTAACTTCTTTCCTGAAAAACTGTCACTGCCTGGTCAACCCAAAGACTGAACCATCTTGAAAGTTTTTGCAAGAAAGATGCATAAACATGTTCAAAATTCAAATCCAAAGATGTCGCTACTTTGATCGTGTCGGCTGATAATCACCACCTTAATTTGTAACCTTTGTTATGAATTCATGCAGCTGATTCAAATGCCCCTAAACTTCTTGTTTATATGATACTCTCACTTGGATAAGTATTAAATGGAAATTTATCATATTACCATGATCAATTTATAAAGTGCCCTGGGGACTTAATATAGATAAATTGTGCAATAGTCTCAAATATGTATATCACCCTGTCTGAATTGCTTTTTAATGGAAACTTAAGCTAGGGTCCTAGTACCATGATGCCAATAGCAGATACCAGAAACTGTTGTCAAAATACAATTGCTTTGTTTTAATGGTTTCCCTTGAGGGAAATTTTAGAATCAGAACTTTCCAAATTTCTAAAACAAATAATAAACTAAGGGAAATTACAAATTATGGTTCAGTTATGTAACAATCAGATCAGCAACATTATCAGGGGTGCTTATACAGGATGGGGAACTTACAAGGCCAAAATCTGGTGAAACAAATTTAGGGAGTTATTAACAACCTGACTCAGTTACCCATGTTATGTGACATGACAGATAACAAACAACATTTTCAGGGATGACAGTGTACGTACATTTCGCTGTGTCACCCACCAGTCCTTGGGGAAGTGAGCGATGTTGTCCATGAACTTCTGGTTATCATCCCATTGTGTGTTCCAGCGCTGCACACTGTATTCTGGCTCCCGACTTGTGATTCGGGTGAGGATGCTCTGATTCTCTTTCGTTACACGCAACAACTCTCGCTGGCGCTTCTCACGATTTAAACTGAAAAACATTAAGTCGCAAAATCATTGTTTTTAATTCTACCACATCAGCAATGTTCCAATGTTTTTCATAAATTTACAACCATACATTATTTGACAACAGAAAATGCATTTGTCAAAATATCATTATTAAATATAATTTAATCTTACACATTATAACTACAATTTTTGTTTTAGAGTTATCTACCTTGTTTCTTTTAACATGGATTCAAAGTGATGGGCTCTTTTGGAAAGGAAATGCATAAATGAAATCAAATTCAAGGTGACATATAGCCTTAACCACATTTAGATCACATTTAGCATTAACAACATCAGTTGAATAGTTGAAAATTACTCACCTTTTATATTCATAATTATTCCTATTGTCTACCCGTCCTCGAGTCCTCATTACATACGACATCTTTTCTAATAGGATCCTGTTGTCTCTTTCAATTGTGGCCAGTCTCTCCTCCTCTAGCTGTAAAGAGACAATAAGATCTGTCAAATTTCTTTTTTATAATCACTGACCAACACAAAAATATTCATAAGATGAGGTTTTAATGTTGGTTTGTTCTGTTTTTGTTTTATGTCCTATTAACAGCTATGGTCATTTTAACGAGGTACCAGGTTAACGGAGAAAAACAACCGACCTGCGACCAGTATCCGGCGACTGCCCCATGTAGGTCTCGAACCCACGACCCAGTGTTGGAGTGCTAGTGGTAGAAGAATGTCAGACACCTTATAACCACTTGGCCACCACGTCCCCTTGTAATGTTGAACTCATTATTTTAAGGTCAGTTAACCCCATATGTTACATATCCATTTAACAGCTCAGTAACACTAGCCAATTACATACCTCTGATGTGTTTAGAACCCTTAAATTAAAATTGAGATGGACAAAAGTTCATTAGAAGAACATACTGCATCATCAGACATTGGCCATCAACTTTTGTCACCTTGGTCAAGTTTTGTGCTCAGGTCAGTTATGCACTAAGCTGGGGCCATGCAATTTCATCAGCTTATGTACTTTTGTCAACCTTGACCTCTGTGACCTTGCTTCAGTAGGATAAGGTTTCTGTCATGTCTTACAGACAGTTTGTAGTTTACTATCCAAGTTTTCATGATCACATCTTACATGGTTTAGATCACACAGCTTAAATGGGTGTATACTTTGGAAACAGACTATCAACACTCTTACCAATGGTTGACCTGAAATATACAGTACTTAATACAATCAATGAAGACCCTATTTAGAAGTTTGATTCAAGTAATCGCTGATGCTGGGAGTGTAACCACATAACAGTTAAAATACAGTGAAACTTGCATTTTCTATGTGACAAAATCTCTTGCAAATAACTACTTTCGCTGTTAATATATTACTCTGATTGGGAGTGTCAATACAAACAAGGTTAAATGTTCCAAAATACAAATAATGTTACTGTATTTGAATTTAAAATACAAAATGTTGCATAGATTAAGATAAGGAACTTTTGATGTTGTCAGTATTTTGGGGGTGTACAATTATCAGTAGTGATGAACACAATCGTATCTGGCTACAGCTATATTGATTATATGGCTACGACAGCTATAACTGTTACTAGTAAACTGTTTAAATGTTTAATAAGTACCAGACAAAACCTGTATCCATGAAGGCCTGTATAGATCAATGTGCTTCTGTACAGACAGATGAGCTATACCAATGAAATTTCTTATGTCTGAAACATATATACGGCAAGTAAAATAATTGTCCGCATCACGATGACTTTAACTTAATTACCTTTAACTTGTGTTTGACGAAATAAGGCCCTATATGTCATGTGTAGTACCCTGGTACTATACATCGCTTCACCAACCCCAATGGGTGTGGCACAGATCCCTACCCCTGGGCTTGTGTATATGTATTATCCAGATCCCTACCCCTGGGCTTGTGTATATGTATTATCCAGATCCCTACCCCTGGGCTTGTGTATATGTATTATCCAGATCCATACCGCTGGGCTTGTGTATATGTATTATCCAGACTGTTTGTTGAGAACCTAAGTCCTGACCCTGTGGCCATCCCATGATTAAAAATATCTTGGAGTTTTTTCCACATTTTATTTACTTACTTGAAAAACTTTTAATATCTTGTTCTGCCCTTAAGCCATTGCAAATCAATTAAAAGTAAAAAAAGATACAAAAATTATACAAGAAAATATTTATTGAATATCAATAGAAAACCTTTTAGTTATCAGTTCTATCAGCATAATCAGCAAGAAATTATCTCTCAACATGACAAACTTATTTACAGGGATATTCTCCTCTATCTCTAAATAAAGTCCCAATTTTAGAAGAAGAAAAAAGAAGCTTTTTCTTGAACTTTAATCACCAGTTATCCATGAAAGCACTCCAAGTAGACAGGCAAATTTAAGGATTTGGCCAATTTAAAACCCTCAAGAATCCATTAGAACAGAGAGTATACTGATATTGGCATACTTGTACTTGTACTTAGTTTCCATTAAAAAGCAGGTTAGACTGGGTAAATCAATATTTGAAACTACATGTACATATATTGCATAATCAGTCTAGATTGCTTTATGAAATTGTCTGTATTTTTATGAAGTCTTTATATACAGTATTGGCAATCTGTAGAAGTAGGATTAAATTTGTCTAGACTTAGTATAGCAGTAATTTGAAAACAAGTCTTTGATTGATCGAAGAAATTAAATTAAATTCTAAAGTTTAAATCTGTTAAATTCAATATAATTTTCATGTTTTTATCCTATCTCTATTTAAATTGCAATTTTCTTTCACAATATATCTCTGTGTATCCTTTAATAAATATTTAATTAATTTTAGATCTCAGAGGATTGAAGACTTCGAACTATCCTGTTTCCTGCTTAGAATCCCACCCCAGTATACCAGTTAATGAATAGCAGGGACCTTGCAGATAAGGTCTTCAAATTTAGGCCTCAAAATAGATATACTGTGTTCCACATCTAATATCTTAAAATTGAAGGGTTGGTAGATGGAAGAAAAGTATTATTTTATATACCAATATGTGCAACTTTTGTGTCCTTATAAATCTTGATTTAATGCTCCTGTTTGATTTATTTGCTAATCTGATTGACTGCCAACATGACATATCTATCCTCTGTTAAGCCCATGCCTGGTAATAAGCCCACTGTAAATCTATTGCAGTTTAGTTCATGTGCCTCCCTGTGTTTTGTGTACGCATGCATGCGTGTATGAGTGCTGGAGACAGTGTATGTTGGTGTATTTGCCTCCTTGTGATAGCACGGATCTGATGTCAACTTTAAAATGCAATCTCATGAAATGCCATGCTGAAGGTATCCAGCACAGCATTCCGCTCGTTCACATTATACTGACAATGGGTAAGCCAGTTGTTGCCATTACCCTAAACGCTGAACGGAAAAGCAGGGATTCAAAACTATCATTTTCGTGGACTTTGGTATGTTCCGGCCTGGGAACAGAACCCATTGCCAGTTCCTCACCTGGATGTATGTTCAACATTAACGCCAAAAGTGAGGTGTTGCCAAGCAAGGCGCTAGGAAATAGAAGGTAGTTAGAAGTAGGAAGAAAGATAAAGATCCCAAATATTGCAATGGGTGTAGCAGATTGTTTAGGTCACTTTTGTGTCCCCAAATAGAGGACACCAAAGCAAATCCCCAATTTTGCAGGGGTTCCCGCATTAGTCACCTCTTACAATACATGCAGTGGGTAACAGCAGGTGTTTTCTTTTGTCGATCCCCGACCTGCAGTGGTGTGCAGTTGAGTAGGAAATAAAAATGTACACAAATGCTATTTCATTGTCCTGTTACATGCCCATCCCCCTAATTTGAGTCAGAGACTATAAATATGTTGGCCCCTTGGGTTTATTGCAGATTATAAACATTTATCAACCTCCTTTTTTTCCGTCTATAATTCTCCCTCATTATATTGCCAATCCCTTTTGTACAATCCCAACATCGGATTCTGTTCTGAATTTCCTATAATAATTATTCAAGGTTCTTATATACCGCTTTATCACAACCTAGTTCGTAGGTCGTTTCAAAGCGGTTCACAAATTATTATCCGTGGTTATAGGGCCTTTGCAACCAGCCAATATCTTTCTCAACTCCCTGGGAAGCATACAGCCGGTGCTGCCATTTCGGCACTCACAGCTAGCATTCTACAATTCTAGCACTTCCCAACCACATACTCATTTACAGCTGAGTAGACTGGAACAAGCGGAGTAGAGTATCTTGCTCAAAGATACAACACAGTGCCGTCTGTGACGTGAGTCGAACTCGCATCCCTTCGGTCGAGAGTCTGGTGTCCTACCACTAGACTACCATGCCTCCTAGGGGGTCGGGGTATTGAATTTGGAAAATATAATGTTTTTAAAGCAAATTCACAGGTTGAGGGGGTGTTAAATTCCTGAAGCAATTGTGACCTTCAGGTAGACATAGACATATATAAAGGATACACATGTCACCTGTAACTGCCAAGTAAATATATGGGGGGATCGAGTGAAAAGCAAACAAATGTGTATTTTCTACACAGGGATTTAAATTCAATATCAGCTGGCTTAAAGTAAATGTTAACTGCGACATGAATATTGCGATCTATGTACCTGTTATATACTATAAGTGAGTTGTGTAAATGGCACTTATAGACCCTTTGTGGGGGATCGGGTATTTAAACCCACAGGAACGCCTGGAAAAGTCTAGTTAGCTTTACAACCAAAATCAACACTTTAACTTTTCAATAATCTTAGTATACTTTTGTACTGTGTTGATTTGAAATGTCATCAGTTGAACATTTCTCCAAACTGAAATAGATTGGTCAGTCTGACCTTAACATCAACTACAATGTTTTCTTATAAATTCTCAAAATCCTGATAAGTCTTGATAGTTTTAATTTGATCCTGAAGCAAATTTTACCGTGTTCCATTCTATGATCAAGATACAAAATTGAAATGTATCAAGAGTTATGCCAATTTGTGAGGAAAAAAGATTGTACCTGGTATTAACAAAAAATCCTGGATTTGCAAGCCAAGAACTATCAATTAGAAATGAATTAATGAAGAAAGATTTTTTTGTGCATTGAAGTTGACTAGGCTTTTAAGATGTGGAAACAAACCTGTCCATACTGCACTATTACTGAGTGAAAGGCATTTTGTCCCCCTTGCGTTAATGAAAGGTAGATTTGTGATAGGGTTCCGTGTTGAGAAATAGACATACAATTGGTCTTTTGACTAAGGTATACCCTGAATGAGTTCAAAGTTTTGCGGGCTATAAGCAGGTTATAATGACCTTCTTTGTATTTTCTTTCGTGTTAAAACAAAATATATGTATGTTTTGGTCGTTAAACTATAACCCTGCCTAACAACACTGTTTTGGTGTGACAAATAACATCATGTTGTCCGAGTCAGGTTTAAAACATAAGACATTCAGTTTGGTCTGAAATTCAGACATAGCATCAAGATTCATTACATTTTCAGTCAGAAGATGGATTTTATAACAAAGTTCAAATATAAAATAAGAAAAAATATATATATTTTAATGATCGATAATAAGGTAGTGATGAAAAAATATCCTACATTTTTCTTTCATGTTTATTAATTAGTCGATTTTTTCATGCTTTGACTAACTTGTTTTGATAACAAATATTGCTGTTGTGTTGTCATGCCTTATTCCATGGAGACTGGAGAAAAAACATGCAAATCCCACTAATGATAATCAATATCGTTCATAAAGCTAAAACCCTGGGTGATATACCAAGTTTGTATAAGACTAGATTAGATTAGTTTTTCCTAATCAATAACCAATAAATTATGAACACCCACTACACGTTTGTCGTAAAAATAGCTCCACAGAGCTAATGTTCAATGTTATACCATATACGACACTAAATTAAGCTTCTTGTACACTTATTGATCATTACTGGTTAACCATTTACTCTTTCATTTATATCTACCTGAAGTCTGCATATTTAATGAGCTTTTTGTTCACAGGTAGATCTGCAATCTGTATAAGCTGTTATATGCCTTAAACTATTGATATACTGTAGCATGTATATATGTATAAGACCAAAAAAAATATATGTGTGTTTCATGTTTCGACACCAAAACATAAGAAAGATTAGTACGGAAAAGAAACCCAGAAATATTTAGTCTTAAAAATTGTAAAAAGATGTCTACTTTTTTGAGCGAACATAGTGTTTCAGGGTTGGAGGTAAAAGAAATACCCTAGCTCTAGGTCGGTTAGGAAATGGGAAAACTTAATTAATACATGCAACTAGTTAAGTACTTTATTTTTATCTCCCTCAAAATAAATATGAATTTAAAAACTTAAAATAATTTTGAGTAAGTATATGTTCTTTTTAAAAAATATTTTTTAGGTACAAATACAACATAAAATGTTTCAGAAATAGTTTTGAATAACCAAAGTTCCTTTAAACTTTGTGTGTACAAAGAAACACTATATAATGATCTAGATATTTTTTATCAATCCTATAGCTATACCCACTAAATACATTTTCTATTGAAAAACAATTGGCATGCATTAAAAATGACTGTAACAAGAGTACTGCGGGGTGGAACAATATACGCCTGTCGAATGCCATATAGTGTTATATACTTTCTTACATTGAAATAAGATCTGCATTATTCTAAGAGTGGTTAGCTGACATGCTATAAAAAATGTAGGGGAAAACCCCAGACAAAAAATCAAATACTGAAATGACTTTTGCAAAAATTGTTGAATCAAAATTCTTTTAAGGGAGACGCAGCTTCATATCATGATTATATAATGTATACCAAGTTTCAAAGAGATCGGGAAAGAAAATGTAGGAGGAGATTGCCGGACAAATGAAAGTACCATAATACTTCCGTCAAATTTGAAGGGTATATACAAATAGAAGTAGCTATATTTAATCTGTGTTTTTGATACTGTTAAACATGTTGTTAAAGGCTGCCTTTTTGGGACTTATCGATGTACCAGTTACTAAGGCCAAATAAGATAAGTGTGTTTCAAGTAGCCTAACCTACCCTAGATTTTCTTGTTAACCCTTAAATATTTTATCACCTGCTTGTATCCAAGATTAACTTATTATCCAATCAAATCTCATAGTCACTCATTTAAATGTACTTTCTTCCCGTTCTGGAAGCCTGACCCCATTCTTTACAGCTAAATAGCAACTGTAATGTGTGGAAATGTATTGTGAAATTGAACATACAGCATAATCCATGAAAACAAAACAAAACTAATAAATGTTTTGCCTTTCTGCATGTTACCTGAAACACATATAATTTTTGTTTTGACCTTGTGTAATGTGAGCTGGCATATGAATGTGAGGTGCTTGATGTGTGTGTTTTTCGCACTTTCCTTTTGAGATTCAATACAATACAATTAAGCATTTTATTTTGTCATCTGTCACCAATATTTCACAGATCATGTACAGGTTTTCCACAGATTTAGAGAACTCTGCTGGATTGAGGGAAAATGTACAGAAATGACAGTAGATGACATGATCATTAAAAACAAACATTACCTGTAACTTCTTCAATTTCAAATGAAGATGCATGTATGTGGGTGGGGCCTTTGTGTCAACCATTGAATGTGCTGTTCTGACCTGAAAATGGAAAATAAAAAGTTGAAAAACTACATAGTTCAGTAGAATGTGCTATTTTGGTAGATCAATTGATTGACTGAAGTAAAAAAAATAATAATTTAGTGGAAGAATACTTAAAACATCTTGAAAAAAACCACCAAACAGCCATAACAGTATTTATTTATATTGCCTTATGTTAGTGTACCATGACCAATATTTCTCTCCCTAAAACAGGATTTTCAAATGAGACAGAACAGATCCAATTCACCAGGTAATGGCACCATCAAGCATGCTTAGCTGGTTCATATACACTGTAAGACCCTGTGACATGTCTGGTATGTACAGGTTCTGGATTATACAGGTTTACATGGACATTTACATACTAGGATCCATCTTGTATACACAGGGTCCTTGATTTTACAGGTTTACAACATTTATACAGTTGGACCTTCTATTTATGTATAAAATTAACAGGTTTCAGACTATACAGGTTTACATGGATATTTACATGGTGGGCTCTAGTGGAATATCTGGTTTATACAGGGTTTGTATTACACAGGTATACATAGACATTTACACAGTGAAACATATTAATTGGCACATCTGATGTTCACTGCTTTCAGATTATACAGGTTTATGACATTTACAAATTCTGCAATTCTGTCAGTTAGCATCAAAATAATGCACTAATACCTCTGTTCTTTAATCAGATTTGGAAGTAGGTAGATACAGTACTTGTATAAAGAGAGACGCTTTGGGAATATCAATCTTGTCGTTCAATTAGAATTATAAGTCTCTTATGACATGGAAGTAAACCATACCAGGGAATTTATGAAACCATGAATCACACTATTTGCATGAATTTAATATACACACCTGATGCACCCAGACACTATAGAGATATGTTAGCCTAAAGAATAATATATTTGTATGAATATTACACTTATAAATGTAATCCCATGTAATCTTATTCATGGTCCAGTGAGGCTTTACGATTATTTATTTTATTTCCATTTCAAACGCTTGATTAATATATAATATGTGTACAGTATATGTTGTACATATCATGTAAACTGTATTTCAGTTTATGAAAGCATGCAGTATTGATAAGGTAAACTAGTGCAACATTTAGAAAACTAATGAGGTTTGTTATCTTTCATCACCTGCTCATAAAATACACTGCTGAACAGGATGAAAGTAGCGTTGCCATGGAGAGATACTCTCTGTACTATGGTGTAATAAATAATTCAGTTAGACCGGTTGAGTACACCTATACCACAATTTACGTTAGCATTGAATTTTTAACATATCAATTTGTTGTGTGCAATTGAAATGATACCAAGTAATAAAAAAAAAAAAATCACAACAAAGTTGTAATCTACATTTGAGATAAGCTTTTCTGAACCGACATTATATTTGTGCTAAAATGTATAAAGTAATATACATGACACCTTCCCCATTGGAATACTAATTCAATAATGTTCAACTTAAAAGGCCCTTGCACGCCTTGTACCCATTCGTTATTTGCAGTTCCTGTGCTGACCCAAAATAAAATTCAGTTTAAATGATATATTTCATGAACTATTTTTTTTTTATCAAGTAAACTTATCAAAACATAAATTTGTGCTGGTAAATTAAAATTATATTGGTAAGATTTAATGTAGAAATTTAACATTCAGATAGTTTAGGTACTGTTGTAACAACAGTACTGTAAACATTCAACATAACCCGAACCCTCAAAACTTAATTCTCTGTTTACATGCCAATTATACACTTTGTCCTGGATTGTAGACAATATTAAAATAATTCTTCTTTACAAGATGTCTGTTTTCTAAATAAAAATGAAAATTATGAGGTAAATGTGGATATATGAATAATCCACTCTCTACGTAAATCAGTTTATACGGTAGTTAGATATCGATCACTTAAAGATTAGCCCTACAGATTAAATCTACACCGAAGTGGAACTCTCACTGGACTAACCGTTATCCCTGCCGAGGGACTACTAAAAACGGTTCATAAAACTCACCTTTCTTCGATGTTCATTGTAGTATGTATCGTCCCACTTCTTTTGAAGAAGTTTATTGTGGGTAGGAAGGATGGATTGATAACTTCTATGCATCCTGATGGTCTATAATGTCCATAAACTACAAGCACTACAATAGCGGTAGTTTATCAATAGAGTCTCGGTGTTGCCGGTCACGTGATGAAGCCGTATCTCCATAACAACAAAAGGAAATCAGTAAACTCGACCGAATGAACTTATGAATGGCACGTTAAAAAATAACACACCGCAATAAGGGACATTATCATGTTTATTTGATAAGAAAATAGCGTCATAAGAAAATAATAAACGTAATCTTGACAATATTACATCAATAATTAATTTGACAGGTGCGCGTCTAAGTCATGTAAACGCTTAAATGTACGGGGAGTAACTCGTCCTCGGACCAAATAGACATTACGCCATACCAGGGACGTATACCATAATTGTGACAGACTTCCAGGGATATCATTTACATAATCAATGTGTTACGATTTAATTCGTCTCGATGTGTACTCATATATATGTTTCGTATAAAGAACAAAAGACATACATCATAAACATCATTTTTTTTTTCAAAATCACTGACAAATTTAAAATTTCTTTTAATTTTATTTTTTTGTGTGTTATTTTTTCTAGTAATGACATGTTAAAAGGTGTTAAGATGAAAAAGAAAATTGATACCTTGATCGTACCTGTGACAACAAAAACAAATAAAAATTTGGAAAAAGGAATTAAAACGATTTTTTTATTCTGAATTAATTGAAAGAAATATTCTTTAAAAACATGCAAAGCATGAAAACTGAAAATATCAATATAAAGTTTTTAAGATTTCCGATTTAATTTTTATAAAACTGAAAATATAAGCTGTGGTTTTGTTTTTTTTCTCTTTCTGAACACGTTAGCTGTCAAGCCTCCCTCATTAGAAGGAAGACTCCCTAGCTCTTTTTGACCAATATTTACCAATCTCTCTCGAAACTCCCTCATCGCAGTTCAAAGTCACACTAACTCAAAATCTACATCCTGTGGTCATATGACCTCATAGTTACAGCAGGGTGTGGGTAAGGTCATAACAGGTGTGTCTGAATGAAATGAATGTTTTTGATGCATAAAAAGGGAAGACAAATTGAGCAAAACAGTTTCATTTGCGTTTAACACTTTCTCCTTCATTTGAAATGTGGAATGAGGTAGATCTCCCCCTATTTGAGGTTTCAGAGGTCGACGCCTATGGAACAAATTTGTTTAGGTTTCCAGTATAAAATGTCGATTTCCGAAATAATTGTTTGCCTGTATCTTAAATGTTGTATTTGGACATGGTGTCTTGTTTAAATTTAAATTAGGGGTCGATGTGGTATGCACGATTTTTTATGACAAATCCGGAGAAAAATACCTACGCAAATACTTCATTATCCAAAGAGAAACAAAGACATTGTTTTCTGTGTTTGTCGAGTGAGTGCAGCAAAAACCTCACAAAGACACATTTACATTTTAGCAAAATCAATTATTGCGTATCCCTACCCCACGCTCCAAAAATCGTACAAATGCCGGGGGAAAGTTCTGAAGTCCGTTTTGACACCAGACATTAATCTGTCAAATGTCTTCAGTCTGGTGTCAGGGCCAGAGGAAACTCGTGCAAGTCGGAAGGTCTCGAGGAGGCGGGAATCGTGAGTCAAGACGGCGCGGGATACGGGAGTCTGACTAAAAAACAAATACACGAAGAACTGTTGACCAGATCGTACCGGATTATAACTATTGGCTAGCCAAGATGATCAAGAATCGGCGTAGAACATCAAATAGAAAAAAAATCACCAATTTACACAGGGATGGAATTCTAATTCGAAGTAGAAAACAAGAAGACAACAAGTAAGTAATTAACTGAAGGGATCATAAGAAATCCCTCACGGAAAGGAAGGCTCATAAAGGGTATAGCGCTTCCTGCACAACACATAGAGCTTTTATGATAGCTTCCGTCAAATACAGGAAAATCACTAATGATCCTATCAACACTAGTGAGCATATGTCTTAAATAAGTGACGATAGGCGATGAAATGTCAGGAGTGAAAACCAGATCATGACGACGAACGTGATTGTAAGTCAACATAGATACTCTTGTAATTACATACAAATGTATTTTGTTTATTACGTCCTCACGATGATCACGAAATCTCTGGAGCGAGACATAGATTCCTCGAAGAAAAAAAATTCCAATCCTGGTTTAAGATCAGTAAAAGACAGGTAAATGTTGACCCACTCCAAATATCCTGGATTCTAGTCTACTCTCTCAATGGGATAACTAGGACTACACAATAGTTATAAATATCAGTTGAAAATGGTTAGTTTTGAGTTATAAGTCTTGATGATATTCAAATAAATAATCAGACATCTACCGAAAAAGAAAGCAAGTTATCTCCCTTTACAAAGTGAAATTCTCATAGCTATTTTCAGAAAAGACCCAAATAAGGTATGCATCATAAAATATTTCACGAATATTCAATAAAAAGGGGATTGTCTGCGTTTTACTTGTATCTAATCCTATCCAATCTTGTTGCGGTATACTTCCTCGTGGACAAAGCATTAATTAAGTACCTAACACAGAGATGCTGTCTTTCCTGCCCTGCTTTTTTTCAGGTTCAAATTGGATTTTATTTCCTCAGCATCTTTTGGAAGGTGTACCAGGGTTGGGGTGCCCCGCCCTTCCTACCATATTCACAATGCTCAGAAAACGCAGGATACGCTGGCTAAGTCGGCTAAACCATGTCCGTCGGATGCAGGATGGACGCATACTAAAAGACATCGTCTAAAGTGCTCTCCCCCTCCGGAAAAATGACGATTGTCCAACATAAGATCCTCTATATCAATGCCTGCATGAACACCATAAAAGTGCTGGACAATTCTTGAAATTCCAGGAGTTACGCTCACTTACATTCTCGATTTACACGGATATCATAGAAAAAGTAAAAGGAGAATAAGACCAAGTGTTTCGGAAGGATCAGCGTTTCCTGATTCATTCGACGACAACAGCGGTGTAAATCTAGGTCAAATTTAAGTCAAGTTTTGACAGTAAGAACCGGGGTATTTGCAACGAAACAACAAGGTAGATTAATGAGCATTATCAAAAATATTAATCGTCATATTGTAAAAGGAAATAGAAAATATTCCAAAGAAAGCCACGATGGCGACCAGAAAACGTCCCCAGATATTTCATAAATTTCAATATCTTGAAACCTTGGGTTGTAAGTTTGTCCGTTAACTGCAGTTTAAATCTATAACAGAAATCGTGATTCTTAGAGCAATCCGTTGATTACCTTAACTGCAATATGTAAACACCGTAGGTTGTTGAAACAGGGATGTTGCTATCAAGAAAGAGAAAATGCTCCGTCGCTGAATGGAAACTTTTGCGCTTATCGGACAGTTTAGTAGTGAACCCGTCCCTGTTGTATGTAATGATCGTTATAAGCGGCTCATGTAGAAAAGTCTGCAATATCCTTGAATTCAAGTTTATGGGGATATATACGATCTACGTGGTCAACAAATGTCTAGTTATCTAAACAAACAAAAATCGTTTATATATCTGACAGTGAAAAATTACTTTGTAATGTTTTTGTTATTGTTCCGGATAGTCTCACTAATAAATTCAGCCTCCTACAAAAAAAGTGTCGATCAGGAGAGGGGCACAAGTTGTCCCGATGTAAACACCAACAGTTTACTGGAATATCAAGGTACCATCAAACTGGACAAAGATGTTGTTAATCAGGAACTCAATCATTCTCACGAGATCATTCGTAGTATATCTCCTCTTAGTCTTTTTCGTGTTCTTCACAAAACGTTTTTCAAAAACGTTCACAGCCATATATTTGTATCACTGATCGCCTTTCTTTGGAATGGAAGCGCCCATACAAAGAGAACACAGGCTTACCTTCGTTTCGCTTGCTGAAGTAACACAGATGATGCAGATAATGTCAAGTTTAGTAGTCGAAACCTATTTGAAAGTCTGATGAACTAGTTTTCTATTTAGTCACACTTGAGCTACTGAGTTTGCACATTTCGTTATATATTTAAGCATTAATAGTTTAATTCAAATTTCTGAAAAGAATGTAAAAGGTTTTCAGAAATAATTGAAGCATATTTTTCCTTTTGGTACCTTTACCACATGCGCCACCCGTTATGATATCTTCTACATGTTCGTCCAATAAGTATTGCTTATTAAACATGATCGGTTGAAGACAAAATGAAAACGTTATCTATACACAGGGGAGACTTTTTTTCTCTAGTTTTCACTCCCCTACCCCCGACAAAATACCAAACCAAACCCCGGCGTGGTTTCCAGTACCATATACACATAACTTTGGAGACATGATGTTGGTAATACAATATTTTATTTTCTTCATGACATGAAATTATCATTTTATTCACTAATTTTATTATTTTTACTTAAATTTGTGTATCGCGACGCTTCAAAACAACAACATGCCATTTTAAACATTGATTCAACTAAACATTGTAAAACAATATTGATTAAACAAAAACCGGATAACCAGAAAAAAAATAAAAACTTAACAAATATCAGACATATCAATAAAAACTCATAAACATGCTTTCGACAGGTCAATGGCTTATAAGTCATGTTAGATATTAACACAACATGATGTCATTTTCGATGATGTAAATAGAGAAGATCAATTATTTGAAATAATTTCAAATAAGATACAATTGGATTTGGTTTGTTTGTGTTTTACTACCTACTAATAGCTATGGTCATTAAAGGACGTGTCAGGTTTTGGTGGTGAAGGAAAGCCGGAATTCCCGGAGGAAAACCACCGATCTACGGCCAGTACCTGGCGACTGCCCTGCGACCCAGTGGTGGAGGGATAGTGGTAGCAGAATGTCAGACGCCTTAACCACTTGGCCACCGCGGCCCCTCAAAAAAGTGTATACAGATCTCATAACTATGTACTTAAAAGGACCGCCAGTAGCACGCCTCCGATATGCGTCACCGTTCCAGCTGAGTTATGCTCTGTGGAATAGAAGATAATTTATGTTAATCAGAGATAAGTAAAAAGTGGACATTGATATATTTTGGCGGTAAGCGAGGTGGCAATACGACGAGGATCATTATATCGAAGTTTTACTATAAAAGAAGTTGATCTTCGCCTTAAACAATTCATATGAAATTCACATGACGATGGAAAAGGGTATATTAAAGTTATTTTATTGTAATAAGGGACGGATTTAATGAAGCCCTTGAACGACTTCTTCTAAAGAACTAAGAGGCTTAGGGTCATTACATGTATATTTGGCATGTGGAATGCTGGGATCGAGGACTATACAAAAACGGCCATGGCTCACTTATTAGATCGCATGCGAAATATAAGTCAAAATATTCCAACAAAACCAAAACTTTGAAAAAATAGACTACAGTAGAACTACTGCTTGAAACGGTTTTCAATTAACATGCAAAACTGCAGGTGCCATCTCTGAAATTTGGTACAGTCTTTGGTCCCTGCTATTATCTTTAGTTTCAACGACATTACCTATGGGTCAGTTCATTAAATATTTACCATAAAATGTTGAATGAATGTTCATTTGTTATTATTCCATAGCTTTTCTAAAAGTTATTATTATTCCCTACCAAATGTACCAACTAGATCTCAGGTTTAAGATGGGCGACAGATATATTACCTGCTATTTGTTGGTGACCTTGTGTCATGTGGGCGTTAGCACACACACTGCCTTGAATATCAGGACGCGTATCCCCTGTGCCCTCGTAATTGTATTCTGTCACAACGACACATTTGAACCTCCGGCCATAGTCCTCCTCACTAACAGATGTAACCTCCAGCACCGCCTCTAGCACGTGACCTGCTCTGTAAGAACACCAATCCATATTATTATATCTCATCTATATAGCATCGTCTCTGATTGGATTACATTGATGGGGATATTACATTTTTACCTCACACCTCTCGAGTTTTCAATGTGTTATATTCCTTATTGGGAGCTTCTCAAGAAAATCAGCAGCTTGTAACACATCGGAATGCCGAATGCCCGAAGCAGACGAAACCAATGTCGTGGCCATCTCTTCTTTTGTAATGTACAACATGCTAAGGTACAGCAAAACCTTGTTATATTGCCACCATTTGTTTAAAGAAATGTTGGCATCATAATGTTGTCCATCTATGGTCGTGTGAGTGAAAGTGTGTGTTCACTTCAATACCAAAACTTGAAGCACTGATCACTGATTTTAAATCTAATGTGTTAAACATCAAATGTAATATGTTTCAATTTCAATTTTCACCACCTGTAAATATGTTATAAGTTAAACTTTATCTTATTCAAATTAGTATTGTAGTTAAGGTGTCCAATCCCTGTGTAATTATATGTATGTAATTAACATATTTGAATATTGAATAAATGCTGTTTAAACTAAAGGAGTTTGGCAATATATTGAGAAAACGTATAAAGGAATTCTTTAGAAAAACCTAAGTATGGGACCTTGAAATATGTTGGCGGTAAGCGATATATCAGATAAAATGACTGGCATTATATTGAGGTTTTATTGTACATGTGTTTCTATTGATATTTGTTATCTTACACCATATTTCGCCAATAGGCGAGCTATGCTGTTCTCCAACAGCTTTTGTTCATGAATACGGTTACCTCGCCGTAACTCGCTTCGGATATAACTGTGGGAAAATTACCATTTCTCTTGTCAAGTTGATTAGAACGACATTATACTGATCGACTGATAGAAGGTCCAGTGCTCGCTTAATTACTTGTTTCGGTTAAAAATTAAATAAAAAATCTATTATTTAAATAATATAGAAAAAACTGAAGAGCCATAAAGCCGAATGCTGTTTTCAATGTTTACATTCGACTTTTTTAATTGTTTACATGATTTAAGTGAGTAACAAGAAAGCTGGTTTGAACACAGAATACGGGCCCTGGACTAGACTCATCGCTTTTTCGCTCTCAGAACCGATGGTATATTGGGTTTTCTTTCATCTTTGTTATTTTTTTCATAAAATTTCCGGAATGTATGGATTTATTTATTTCAGAAATGACTTTTTAGTCATGCTTCCAGTGCACTGTTACTGTTTTTGTGGTTCAGGGAAACCAATTGTAACATAAGACAACACTGTATAGGTAACTTACCCTGCTAGCTTGTGTGTCTTTGAGCTGTATCTTTGTTCTGTCTCCAAAGAATACCATTGGTAATGACTTGCTGTTGTTGTAGAGCCCGTCTCAGTTTCTATCCTGGCGTCCGTACGGTAATTGTTCTTAGGAGCAAAATAGCCTGCCCATATTAGGCCTACTATGAGGTGTTCAGCACAATGAAAGTCTACACGGCAGGAAAGTGTAGCGACGGTACCATTATTCGAACACGTGATCAATGGCTCATCTGATTGGTCCAACGTCAGAACGGTCGGTTGCTGTGGCCGACATTCTGTAAAAGAAATCACGTTAAGTCGAATTGTTATGAGAATGTTATTCATAAAGTACTTGATCGGTATTATTTTATTTGTACATCTTATTTATCAATGTACGTTATATAAAAACAAAATTGTATTTACAAGTAATTCAAATATAATTCCGAAACGCGCATACGTTGACAGTGTACCTTGTCTGATGACTTCTAAACCACTTGACTCCCAGAATGTCAGCGCGCACCAAACGGCCATAAGGGAAGTGGTAAAACGAACCATATCTTGCACGTACTGAAACAGGAGGACATTGACAAACGTTGAAAGTATCTTCTGACTAAAACTTGCATTCATTTGTATTCAAGTCAAAATATAATATAAATAATTGGAAACAAATATATTTACGAAAAATAACCGACTGTCAAAAAAACTCCCTCGGATTCGAAGTAGATGGACAAGGAGAAAATAAGGTGATATTTACTTGGTCATTCTTGAAAAAGTAAAAGAAGACTGAGATCAGGGGTTCCGAAAGTGTCAACGTTTTCGACATGCACCATGTAATTCATTGACCATGTCGCTAAAGAAATATAGTATTTCTAATAGAAATCATAATGGAGACCATATCAACCTGAATCTCTCAAAACACTGTGTTGACAGTTCATCTGTCACCATTACACATCTATCACAGAAAGTATGATACTCAGCAGGCCGACACAACTGTGACATGCAAATACTGTAGGTCGGGAAGGTAGAGATGTTATTACCAAGAAAAGGAAAGTTCACGATAGGAAAATCGTAATCATCCGCTTATTGTACATATTAGCAGTAAGCCGTCACCGTTGGTCATATGTAGCAAGTAAAGATCAAGGTAAGCAGCGGATGTAGAAAAGTCTGTAGTGTGCTTCACTTCAATGTCTAGGATAAATATTTGAAAGTGAAATAAAGGTTTGTTTCAAGTCTTGATACGCTTTTTGATAAAGTTACCTTCAAACGAAAACAAAATTATTCAGTTATTTTTTATATAATGGTCCTGATAGATTTAATTCACCGAAAAAAATCAAATACATCATGCTCTCGTTTTGCCCATTGTCTGACGCAATCTTTTAAAGAATCCACCTGTATCTTGAAATTCACATTTCAGTAGTTTATATAGCTAAGAGAAATATCGATACTTCGGACATTTCATGAAAACTCTCGTAGATGTACATAAACGATAAGGCTTAGATCGCCAGTTACTTTGTGTCCATATCTGTATAGAGAGTTAAAAGAGAAGAACTTGCTGAAGGATTACTCCTAATGTTGAAGATAATCGACCGTTGTAGCATTTTCTGGTACACCTGAAAAGCTTGGAACCAACGGGTTTATAATAGCTTTAAGAAATGACTGAGATCCGTTGTTATCTCAATTATGGTGACATGTTAGCTTCTATGGACTTGAGGCGTAGGATATTACTGATATAAAAGGCACTCAGTTCGTTGGTAGCAAATTCTACATTCATAAAAAACACCGAGCTACCGGAGTGTCGTAAGTATTCGTTGCAACAGACCAAAGCAAGTTTTAATAGCGCCACATCATCAATAATTTTGTGATATATCCAAGGTAGTTTTGAAAGGTCACGTTGAACAGTTTTAGTTTAGTCCTCCAGCAATGTTCGTAACATAGAGATACAGAGAAGAAATGAATACAATACAGTTCTATCATGGTGGACCCTTATCTGAACGGACAGTACATCCATACGGGGCTGTAGTGCGAAGAAGTCTGCGTGCTCATGCATACATTTCCTATGATCCCCTAGAACTCTGATTCATTCATCTTGATTTACAGAAATCTTTTGTCGGTAGAGTAGTTTGGTGCTTATTGATGATGGATCAAAAGTATTGCTTTCCAATGTGAAATGTTTTCCCCTAATGCATAGGATTATAATATATCTGTTGATTAAATGTTCAATATAGAACGCATACTCTGTGCATGTTTAAAATGTGAATTCAATGAATATATGCTCAATGATTTATACAAAACATAGGTTATATATTTACTTAAAAATGTAAAAACATGTATATGCTCAAACAGCATATGTACAACAGTATACATGTGTTCGAGGATTTATATAGAATATACTTTACGTATCCTAAACAACATACATTTAATGTATAGAACCAAAGAATATAGAAAATATACATACTATATATGGTCAAATCATATTATATGTTTATGGCCAAAATTAATCATATGTTAGGTCGATTATATACATTATATATTTGGTCAATTTATGTTCTATTCATGTTCAAAATATAATACAAGTATGTTCAATATACATTTGATTTAATTAGAAACAGTCGATACAAAATACACACATATATATATAGTCAATTTATGGTATGTGTATGCTCAATATTTATATATGTACGGTCGACCACAAAAAACAAAATGTTTAGTACTTACTGTGAATGTTATTTCAAGTTGTCGAGTTTGCAGTATATGTTCGACCTATTTATACTATCCTTCGCCTCCAATTCATAGATAGGGATGCACACGATGACGCACCAATGATTAACACACAATCCCACGTATGTACCGGAAGGGGAATGACGTAGTAATCCGCTTACTATATATATACTGAACATGAGTATACACATGTAATGGTAATTTACGATATATAATTATCTAATGATAGTTCTATTGTCGTGTATATAAACGTTAATACGGCGATGTAATAACTTTATTATATACAGCAATATGTATAATGTTATTTTAGTTTGGTAGTGCAGTAAGCTGTCCCTTGCGGTATGTGTTGTGTGGTCCTGCTAAGACAAAATCAAAATTTATCTGCTGTATCATACCGACTTTGTATTTGACTCAGATGCCATAAGTTACTATGGCCACTTATGTCCTATCCGTTGCTGATTCAGATTTTTAAGTTTGTATAAATGTTAAAGTATGTTTTTTTCAGAATGCATGCATTCGCATTCATATTCTTATTCCCCGCCTTTTCCGTCACTTTCATCTTGGATCATTCCTTCTTTATCCTCCTCCCTGCCGTTCGGTCGTTTATGGCAAACTAGACTTACGCATTTTTCAAGAAGTAGTCCAGTTGGACTTAAGAAAAGTTTTTGTATTATCCGTAAAATATGTAATATCGATATTTGTGATATTTTTTCTTAGTATGTTGAATTGCAATCATATTTGTAAAGTTAACAATGATTTTACCCGCGCTCATTTTCCGTCTGTACCTTTGTATAAATATCTTATGTGTTTGTAGAGCTGTAGCGCTGTGTTGTATTTGAAACTCTTTTGTGAAATGAATAAACGTAATGATTTTAACAAGTTGTTTTAGTTCAATCGTTTCTGGCCCCGAAGAGCCTGTGACATACAGTGCCTTAATTTGCAGTGTTGTTTTAATGTTATTTTACTGCTAATCGTCAGCAATTCTCTTTTTACTCTCTTAAAGAATGACAATGAATTAGAGCGATAAAAGTTTTACTGAAAGTACATCCACCGTGAATTATAAAAGCAATACTGTATTGATTTCTGATTTTGGAAATATTCAGAGTCAATTATTTATTTGACTGAGGAAAAAATATTGTTTTAAAACCCCGAAAAGAAAACCAATCTTGTGTAAAACAATAATGAATACACATGGGATGACAATGGGTCTCACATTTCCCCCTGGGGAGGGGGTAAACTTTACTATAGTTTATATAGGGAAATCACATTTTGGACCAACATTTGTTTAGTTTCCATTGGAAGTAATTCAATTTAGATTTCACGTTAAGTTATGTTTAAACATGTTTTATTACTGCAGCATCTCATATACCGGATTAATCACAAGTCATTACAGCGTGTGACCCAATTGTTTCATCATACATCTGAATACGCTATACGGCTTGTCGGAGGACCAAGGAACGTATACACTATACGGCTTGGCGGGGGACCAAGGAACGTATACACTATACGGCNAACCAATGAACGTATACACTATACGGCTTGGCGGGGGACCAAGCAACGTATACACTATACGGCTTGTCGGGGGACCAAGGAACGTATACACTATACGGCTTGTCGGGGGACCAAGGAACGTATACACTATACGGCTTGTCGGGGGACCAAGGAACGTATACACTATACGGCTTGTCGGGGGACCAAGGAACGTATACACTATACGGCTTGTCGGGGGACCAAGGAACGTATACACTATACGGCTTGTCGGGGGACCAAGGAACGTATACACTATACGGCTTGTCGGGGGACCAAGGAACGTATACACTATACGGCTTGTCGGGGGACCAATGAACGTATACACTATACGGCTTGTCGGGGGACCAAGGAACGTATACACTATACGGCTTGTCGGGGGACCAAGGAACGTATACACTATACGGCTTGTCGGGGGACCAAGGAACGTATACACTATACGGCTTGTCGGGGGACCAAGGAACGTATACACTATACGGCTTGTCGGGGGACCAAGGAACGTATACACTATACGGCTTGTCGGGGGACCAAGGAACGTATACACTATACGGCTTGTCGGGGGACCAAGGAACGTATACACTATACGGCTTGTCGGGGGACCAAGGAACGTATACACTATACGGCTTGTCGGGGGACCAAGGAACGTATACACTATACGGCTTGTCGGGGGACCAAGGAACGTATACACTATACGGCTTGTCGGGGGACCAAGGAACGTATACACTATACGGCTTGTCGGGGGACCAAGGAACGTATACACTATACGGCTTGTCGGGGGACCAAGGAACGTATACACTATACGGCTTGTCGGGGGACCAAGGAACGTATACACTATACGGCTTGTCGGGGGACCAAGGAACGTATACACTATACGGCTTGTCGGGGGACCAAGGAACGTATACACTATACGGCTTGTCGGGGGACCAAGGAACGTATACACTATACGGCTTGTCGGGGGACCAAGGAACGTATACACTATACGGCTTGTCGGGGGACCAAGGAACGTATACACTATACGGCTTGTCGGGGGACCAAGGAACGTATACACTATACGGCTTGTCGGGGGACCAAGGAACGTATACACTATACGGCTTGTCGGGGGACCAAGGAACGTATACACTATACGGCTTGTCGGGGGACCAAGGAACGTATACACTATACGGCTTGTCGGGGGACCAAGGAACGTATACACTATACGGCTTGTCGGGGGACCAAGGAACGTATACACTATACGGCTTGTCGGGGGACCAAGGAACGTATACACTATACGGTTTGTCGGGGGACCAAGGAACGTATACACTATACGGTTTGTCGGGGGACCAAGGAACGTATACACTATACGGCTTGTCGGGGGACCAAGGAACGTATACACTATACGGCTTGGCGGGGGACCAAGGAACGTATACACTATACGGCTTGTCGGGGGACAAAGGAACGTATACACTATACTTCTTGTCGGGGGACCAAGGGGGAACAAGGAACGTTTACACTATACGGCTTGTCGGGGGACAAAGGAACGTATACACTATACGGCTTGGCGGGGGACCA